TCGAATATTATAAAATAAAGAAAACTTTTAAGCTTTTTAGAAAGTTTTAATATTAGAAAAATATAAAAAAATATATTTATAAATATTATTAAAAATATAATATTTACTAGAAAATTAAAGCTAAAAGGCATTTGCTATATAGTTTATTTAGTAGTTTATTATAGCCTAAAAAATTCTAAAATAAGATTTCTATAAATTTTATTATAGGTCTATTACTATATAAGAATCTAGTAAAAGATTCCGATTTTAATATAATTCTTATAATTATTAACCGGTATTCTAAAATAGTAAAATATATTATATATTATAAAATAGTTAATTTTTCGGAGTTTACTAAAATTATATAGAAATATATTTTCTTAATTCTTAGCTTTTCTAATAAAATTATTTCTGATTAAAAAATAGTATTTAAATATAGTTTATTATTCTTAGATAAATAGTTAAATAGAAAAATAAAACTAGGTCCTGAAATACTATTTGAGATATTATTATAATATCTAAAAAAAAATAACTAGTTTAAAAAGTTATTTTTTACGGAATTTATATATAATAACTTAAAATATTAGGTTTTATAGAATATATCTTTCTATATATATTATAAATACTATTTTTAACTTTTATAAAATTCTAAAAACAGAATTATAAAAAAGTACTAATTATATATAAAAGGCTAGAAACCCTTAAAATAAAGTAGAAAAAGCTTAAAAACTTATAATATTATATATAAAACAATCGGGAAACCTATTATAATAAATACTAGTTAGCTAAATATTATTTTTAAAAAGCCTAAATAATACTATTAATAAGAAATATTAAATTTAAGGCAAGAAAGCTTAAACTAAAATTTATAAATTTATTTAAAATCTTTAAATATATTAGTAATTTAATATATAAATTAGAATTACTAAATATATATAATTATTTATATTTAATTTTTTATATTTCTCTTTTTAAGAAATATATAATAAAAAAGAATTAAAAGCTATATTTATATTTTTTCTAAAGAATTTCCGGAATTAGTAAATAATAATAAAAAATAAAAATAAAAAATAGAAGCTATTATTAATTACTAATAAAATAATAAAAGTAAAAAGTAATAGTATTTAATTAAATAGAAAGCCTGATCTAAAAATTATAATATTTAGTTATTTACTTTTTCTAATTTTAAAAATTCCAAGAAATTTCTAAAATTATATAATTAAAATAATAGCTTAAAATCCGAAACTATTTTTTAATAATCTTTTAAAATTAAAAAGAATTCTAAATTATTAAAAAAAAAGGCTATTTAAAAAAAAGAAAAAATCTAAATAGCTAAAAAAAGGGCCCGAAGTAATAATAGAAATACTTTTTTTCTAGAGTTTTTTTATTTATAAAGGTTTTCCAGAGTTTTATTAAAGCTTATAAGAACTATATTTAAATTATTAGAAAAAGATTTAAAATTAAGAAAGATTTATTATAAATAAACTAGCTATAAATATCTTAAATAAACAAATTCTAATTCTTATAAATTTCTAATTTCTAAAGCAAGAATACTAAATACTAGCCCTATTTAGAACTTAATAAAAAATTAAATAATACTTTCCGAAATCTGCTTATTTCTTAATAGAATATAATTATATTATAATAATATTAATATTAAAAATATTAAAAAAAGTAAATAAGGAATCTATAATAGCTATATATATTTTATAAAAGGCCCGAACTTCTAAAATCAAATTCCGAATAGCTATAAATATTATATTATTAGTATTTAAAATACTAGTAATAGACTATATAGAAATCTCGGTAATAAGCTCAGTAATAAAATTACTACTTTAAAAATAGATTTTATAGTATTTTTTTAAGGAATTAGTAAATATCTAAATATATTAAAAAAACTTACTTTTAGAATACTAACTCAAATAATATTATTATTTATTTTATTAAAACAGGAAAAAGAATTCCGAAGCTTATTAAACTTTTTCTAGTTTTTGAGAATCTAATTAATAATATTATTTATATTAATATAATACTATTTAGGATATTCTTTAAAAAATTTCTTAAAGATTATAATAGTATTTTCCTAGAACTAGTAAGCCTCTAATAAATAATAAGAAATCTGAAATTATATTAGCTTTAATAAATATTAAAACTAAAGAACTTATTAATATATAAGATTTAGAGCTCTTATTATAATAGTTATAATTCTTTTTACTAGATAATATAATATATAAGATAAAGGAATTAATAAATAAATACTTGAAATATTTACTAATAATAGAAAAAAAGACTATAAGATTATTTTTATATTTATAATTATATTAGTAAATAGCAAAACCAGAAAATATTATAGAATTAATTAAAAATAATTAAAAAATACTTAGAAAACGGCAAAAAAAGAGGCTAGAAAATAATAATAGGAAAAAAAAGAATATATAGTAATATAAAGAGATTCTTTTATAAAAGTAAAAAACTACTTGAATTAACTACTAGTTTTTATACTAGTTCTAATCGGAAATTAGTATAATTAATTAATATATATTTTTAGAAGCCTATAAATAATTTTTAGAACCTCAGAAATATTTATATAAGTTTCTTATATAAATATTTTATTAAATTCTTTCTATATAGTTATTTAGATTATTTTAATATAAGATCTAATAAATAATATTAATTTTATAAAATAGTATCTTAGTATTTTAAATCAAACTAATTAGAATATTTAGTTTCTAAATGAAATTATAATTACTAGCTAACTCTTATATCTAGAATATAATTATTATTTCTTCTTGCTTATTTAGCTCTAATCTAATTAAATGATTTTTATATTTATTATTTAGATTATATTAGTAAAACTATCTTCTAAGATACTAGAAGTTTACCTTAATTAAATAATTAATTAATTAAATTTTTTACTAGAATAAATTAATAGATCTTAGAAATAAGATCTTAGAAAAGAGATATAGTTATAATATATATAGAGTTATATATAACTTAAGAATATATAATAAATCTCGAATATTACAAGTATTAATTAGAGAGATTAATAGCCCTTTAATATTATAACTAATTATTATTTATATTATAAGTATTAGGCTTATAAATTACTAATTATATATATATTATTAGGGCCTTCTATTTAGAAGAGGCTTTCCTGAACCTTATAGAAGAAATAGAGATTAGTTTTATATTAAATTTAATATTATAGTTTTATAATTTACTAATTTATTCTATTATCTTATTACTTACTAATAAATACTTTATAGATAATATTTATAATATATTTTCTAATAATTCAGATTTTGTTTATAATATTCTTTTTTATTAATATATTTAATTAATAAATTCCTTTATTTCTTAATTTTCTTTTTATATATAACCTTTTTTTCTTCTTTTATAATAATATTACTAAAATAGTAAATCGAATTAATAATAAGGCTAAAATTAGAGAAATAAAGCTATATTAGGGTAAGAAGCTAAAGAAATTAGAGAAAAGTAAAGCAAATCTAAAAATAAACTTAGTATATATTTATAGAACTGAATTCTCTTAAGCTTATACTATTTATAGTAATAAGAAAAAACTAAAAGGCCCTTTTAAAAGCTATATAGTTATAAAAGGCAAATTTAATAGCACTTATATAAATTATAGATATAATAATAATAGTAAAATCTGTACTTTCTATTAATTTAATACTAATTCTACTAAATCTAGAAAGCCTTATTTTATATCTATAAAACCCTTTATATTAAAGCCTTAATTATCTATAAGATATAATAAGCAAGTATAAAAACTGATATAAAATTAAAAAGTAAAGAGAAAGGAGATTATAGTAGAAAAGGAAAATAAGAATATTAGAGAAAAATAAAATAAAAGAGATATAAATAATTCGAGTAATATAAGTAATATAAAGAATATAGAAAATAAGGAAGATATGTCTTATAATTTATCTGTTGCGCTGCGGCCAGGTGGGAACTGGCCCGTACACATCTAAGCGAAGTGAATTAGCAAATCATATTGCTAGATTCATTAATTTAAGACCTCTGATTTGCTATAATTTTGCGGGTATATTTGATCACGGAAATTCCCACCTGGCCGCAGCGCAACGGATAGGATTTGTCTTACAAATTATATAAGCTAAGAGAGAGCTAGAAATAGTCGAGAATAAGATATATATACTATATTATAAAAGAGATATTATAGCGAGAATAAATATAAATACTAATACTTATATGAATTATAAATAGCTTTATTTTAGCCACTTCTCTATAAGTTATATATATATATATATATATAAATATAATAAGGTTTTATAAGAAAGGGACCTCGATTTTAGTAAGGTAATATATATAAAATAGAGTACTATTATTCTAGTAAATATTATATAGAAGATACCAAAATAGAAAAAATACTATCTTACAGGCAATTCGAGTAATATTACTAGATTAAAATAAATATATAGTTATTAGAATATCGAAAACACTATAAAGTATTAATATATAATCTCTTTAACTCTCTAGAATTAGAAAAGGGGGTGTATAGGCAGAGATTAGCTCGCTTATAATCAATTGCAGATCGATTCAATCAATACCTTACGATTATGGCATCAATTATTATCGATTACTAAAAACGCCAATTATTGCCAAGCCTGCACGGAAGGCGAGATAAAGCACACAACTTAGGGAAACGAGAGAAGGAGATATGGATGAGGAGGCCAGGCCGATGGCTCAGGAGTGGGTGGGTGTGACGATACCGTCAATGACGCTGCCCGGTGGGACATATTTTGTGCCACAAGGAGAAGGGGTGTATGTTGGGAGTGGGTATAGACAAGGTCCAATGCATATTTCAGTGGGACCGCAGGGGGCAAAATTTTATAGAGATTAGTAATCTAAGGTGCTCTGAAGATGCGAGAGGTGCGCGGGGGGCAGAAGTTTGGTTATCTGTGAGAGAGGTGGGAGCACAGCCTTACTCGTGTTAGTTTCATCTGAGAATTGTTATTATTTCATACACTTGAATATCAGCACTAATCTTGATCTGACACACCATCAGAAGAGCAGATCATTTCCCAAGCCCTTACAACTTCCTCCTGCTGTTCCTCACTGTAGAAAGCCATCTCTTCTCTCCCTTGAACTAACCGACTAAGCTCAATATGTCCATCATAATCAGCTGCAAACAATTTGTGCAACCCCACAGAAATACCTTGCAGGGAATAGGCTGGAAGTCCAAACAACCCTGCCCCCAATCAGAGATCATACTGTGAAATTATTTGGCAATTAGAACACTCACCTGCTCCAGGCTTGAGAACCAAGCCTCCAACTCCCTTCCCAATACCTGCGATTGCTCCAATGGTACCGTTTTCTTGAGCGCCACGAATAGGCTGCGTGACTAGACCAGTTATGCCGTCGTAGAACCCATACGCCAGTTCCTGCACTCGTTAGTGTGATGTCTCCTGAATGTTAGAAAACACAACAGTACCTTGGCGCCGACTCTGACCCCGCTTGCAACCCCCCTCACTTTCTCCTGCTCCCTCACCATCGTGTCGCCATATGCGAGTGGGATACTTCTGTAGAATCAAGAAATCAGTAATTCCCACTACCCAAAAGTGGCAGGGGGCCCCAGAACAGAAGGGTAACTGCTCGCGAATTACTTACTGAAACCCCCGAGCAAGGCCAAGACTGAAATGAAGAGGAGAAGAGAGATAGGCTTTGGTGAGGCGGCCCATTCCTTTGCCCGTTGTGATGACCACTTCAAGAGATTGGTTTAATATGTCCTCCCAAGAGTCCCCAAATTCGTCATGCCGTCCCTTACCATGCGTCTGAAACGGCGCAACGGTAGGGTTTTGAGAGATAGCATCCCCTCTTCGATGCTCCACCTCTATTCGATGAGAGCGATCAGAGTTATCCATCTTTTTGATAACTTTCGCCGTTCCATTGAAGACTCCTCTAAATATCTGCACAGGCAAATTAAAAGTCTCGTACGCAACATCGCCAAAGGACCCTAAGAAAGCGATCGCGCCTCCAGTGATGGGATCAACGGGTCGATCTTCGATATGATATTCTTGGTGTCGGTGTCTATGGGGAAGTCAGTTAGTCACTACCTGGTTTCGATCAAAAGTTGTTCCCAAAGTTAACTTACATGGAAATTTCTTTGACGCTAATCAACCCCCTGTGAAGCAGAACAGCCGCAGCAAGGGGACTCAGCTGAGTCCCAGAACCTTGTGTGCGGTTTATTTCCCATGCAGCAACCCTCTCTGAAAGAATTGAGCATCTTGAGTGCTTCTCCGGGAGAGAGTCGTGAAAGCTTCTTGCTGCATTCTCACAGCCCTGCTCTTGCTGCAGCCTCAGAGCAGTCTGCCTGGCCCTTATTCTCGATTCTGGATGCAACGCTTCTTTGATTCGTTGTGCGAGTTTGTCAGCCGTTTGTTCTCGGTACTGAATTGGACGTGAACCCGCGTCTGCATTTGCAACCATCTCTCCCCAGAAATGTTGCTGTAGACAATTAGACATTGTTCTAACCACGGGAAATGACTTACATCTCCAAAGAAAGGAACAATGACAGTCGGCTTGCCTGACGAAAGACTTGCTGCAGTTGTTCCTGCGCCTCCATGATGCACAACAACTGACACTCGCTCGAAAAGCCATGTATGTGGAATATTTCCAAGGAGAAAAATATTTTTCGGAAGCTCCAAATTTGTGTTACCAAGACCTCCCCAACCCTTCGATACCACCGCTCGAACGCCGGCTCGTCTAACTGCTTCGAAGATCATGGATGTCATTGCATCTGGATTATCCACAACAATAGATCCAAACCCGATGTAAACCGGAGGATCTCCAGCTTCCAGGAATTTTACCAGATCAGGCGGTGGTGTGTAGCAATCCCCAGGAGGAAGAAAGAGGAAGCCTGAAACCGAGATATGAGAACCCCAGTCCTTGGGCTTCGGCAAGAGCATAGGAGACCTGTGTGAATTCAGCAACGAGAACCTATGACTGCGCGCAGCGAAAGGTTATTACCAGCAATACGTATATGGAATCTTCAGCCTTGTGATTAGCCCAGTTGCCCACATTAAATTAAGAGGTGCAAGGCCGAGCTTTTCCTCCCGGAACTTATTGATCAGGTCACCAAGCCCATGCCAAGTCAGCCGTTCAATCAAGGCATAAGAAAGCCGATTGGTCATTCCAAATGCAAGATCCGAGCTCTCTATATGTGCAAGAGGATGTGGAAATGCTTCAGTTGGAGAATAAGGCATCCTACTAATATGAGTAAGTGTCCGTATGCTACCTGGCTCTCGCACACTTACGTGAACATCAGATGTAGAGGAATTCCCAATCTCTCAGCACAATGTATGTGAGCGAAGCTGGGAGGATTCGCGATGATGGCATCCGCAATGAATGGCTTCGCTTGTTGGTCTCGAATATTGAAGCGCGATTGATGGTGGCTTTCATCCATCCCATCACCTGGTTCGATACATGCTCTCCAGCATCCCTTCAAAATTGCATACATATTTTTTCTCTGCTGTTTCACTTCACCGCTGCGTAAAGATTGGTAGCTTGGGAGAAGGCCGGGATTCCGAACCATCTAAAGAATCTCAGAGTCAGTATTACTTGATTTGAAATTTGTTGTCGTCCCGTAACTTCCGGAGAAATTCACATCAGGGAAGAAACTCGAGACGTACGAATGCCATGAGTTCTTCTGGATTGCCATCAATGCTGAAAAACTCCAGTTCATGTCCCTCAACGAAATCTTTGAATACTGCATGTGTAGCAATCCTGACTCGATGTCCAAAGGACTTCTTCAGTTTTAATCCCAAAGCGACGAATGGCTGAACATCTCCACGTGATCCCACGATTTGGATGACAATATTCAATGGTGACGGGGGTGGAGCAAAAGGACGATCCATCACCGAATTTGATCCAGTGGTTTCTTCCTGTAGCAGCCTATCATAAATACTAGCATCAAGGTTCGGCTTCCTGGAAAACGGGTGAAAGAGGTTGGAAAGTTTAGATTTTCTCCGACGGATGTCCAAGCTGATACGGCCGCCATCTACAAAGATTGTTATTAGTCTATATCCCTCTAATTTAGGAATAGCAGAACGAGACCATCAATGCTAGCAGCTGTACTCAGAGAGTCGTGATCACGATTCAGATTCGACAGCTCTTGGATGAAGAGCGATTCTCGACTCATGTTGAAATTTTGGTGCATTCGTAGAATAGGTTCGAAGTAAATCATAAAAGTTTACTCCTTTGCAAATGAATAAAATAGAAGCAAGGCACCGATGAGACTGATGTAGTTCGGGGGTCATGACAAACGAATACGAAATTCTGCCGCTGTTGATTGTCGATACGAACCGACCTATAAGAAGCAGCGATCGAATGATCGTGGCGGACAGAGAACACCACCTCATGGGAAAGGAAATGATCTGCTTAGACTCTGTGGAAAATAAAAGTGATGCATGACGACGAATACCTAATGCAGTCACTGTTGCCTTAAACGTATTCGTATTCGGCGATAAAGTGGTTACTCTACTTTTAGATACTTAATCACCAAACTTCGTCAGAAGGGTATGAAAGCCACCCGTCAGGTCTGGATATTCACAGAGGCCACCATGTAAATCACCAGCACGAGGCTTGAAGACTGTTGCCATGAAGGTTCCGAATCTTATATATACATTTGTTCTGTCCGCAAATGCCATTGCCATAGGCGCCTCTCCTGATCCTTCCCTCCTACTCGGTCCCATTTTCCCACCTCCTCGATATCTAGGCACGAATTTCGGGTTTCTCGCAACACATTCTCAACTATCGTCAACTCTCAGAAGAACCCTGGAGCAAGGCTACGGTCCATTCGGAAACTTCACGCCAAATGCTTCTTCGGTCTCTATCTCCATGACTAGCACGGCAGAAACGCCAGCAATATATTCATTTAACTTTACAGGTTCGGGTCTGAATGCTAGTGCCGGTGGCACCGAGAGTGTTTCTGTCGACACGGTGTTCAGAATTGGGAGCATCTCTAAGCTTTTTACGGTGTATACTTTCCTTTTGCACAATGGGCTGGAGCTATGGGAACGGCCAATCACTAAGTACGTACCGGAGCTCTGCAATATATCCCGAAACTCAGACAGTTTCGCAAATTTGGACAGAGTGAGATGGGAAGACGTAACTCTTGGTTCGCTTGCAAGCCACATGTCTGGCATCGGGCGAGATTGTGAGTGCCGTTACATTCGCCAGGGGGTATCCAGCTAACGGATTCGGTTTTCAAAAAGACGGAAGTGCAGATCTATCCCTGTTTCAATTTCCATGGACTGAGCATGGCTTGCCTCAACTATCCCGTTCTGACATTCCTACGTGCGGTGGGAGTGAAAAGCACCAGAGACCTTGTACACGAGAAGGTATGTAACTTGGCCCCTAGAAGAAGTTAAAAGTCTAAGATTGACACTCTCAATAGAGTATTTTGAAGGTTTTGTGCATCACCACCCTGTCTTTCGGCCGCACTCTACTCCGATATACTCGAACACAGCGTTTCGAATTCTGAGCTATGCTCTCGAAGAAATAATAGGAGATTCGTTCGATAATATTATCGAGGAATGTGTCTTCAGGCCCTTGGTGTTGAATCATAGCGGCATGCACAAGCCAGCTGATAATTCAGGGGTGATACCCCAGGGCGACAGCATGTGGTCTTATGACATTGGTGACGAAGGACCGTAAATTCACCAAACTTTGAAATTTGGCATCGCTGACAAAGGAAACAGGGGTGGTGGCATGTATTCCTCATCTTCGGACCTGGCAAAATTCGGTCGAGACATATTGCTCAGCGCTCAACTTTCCTCCTCTGTCAGACGAAGATGGATGAAGCCGATGGCGCATACATCAGGACAGACGCTGTCTGTTGGCGCTCCTTGGGAAATATGGCGCACACGAAGCAATATAACAACTGGGCATGCCGTCGATTTGTATACCAAAGGCGGCAGCATTGGCTTGTACAACTCTCTCGTCGTCCTGATCCCGGACTACCAAGTCGCTGTTTCTATCCTGATTGCTGGGCCAGAGGGTAGCGTTATACAAGCAATTGCTGAGACGGTTGCTCAGATGTTCATTCCTATTATCCATCAATCGACTCGAGAAGAAGCCACAAAGAATCTTGTGGGTTCTTATGTTGCAAATGACAATCTCAACTCATCGATGATGCTGAAAGCCGACGATCTCGGCTTGATAGTAGAGAAGTGGATCAACAACGGCTCTGATCTTCTAGATCTTATTGAGACATACTCGCAGATCACAAATGGAGGTCATGTCAGGTCGGTGAGGCTGTATCCGACTGATTTGGAGGACCATATTGGTGAAGAGATTAGAGTGGGATATCGTGTCCTCTTTGATGTCTCGACAGGGGAGAAGCCTGGGACGAGGGTGTTCGATCAATCTCTGAATTCTTGGGGTCAAATAGATCAGGTTACTTATGGTAAGACCGGAGTTGATGACGCTGTCCTTGAGTTTGATGAGGATGGCAGTGCTGTCTCGATCGAGGCTCGCGTTCTTGGTGTTAAGCTTTTTAAAGCCTAAAAGTAGTTCCAACATTGATTATTTGCCTGGATGGAAAGGAACAAGAAAGCCGATGATTTTTAGTCACTCATGAAGTCGGGGGTGAGGTGGTGGGGGGACGAAAGGATCCTGAATTGAACCTCTGAGTTACGGGTGTGTGACTCCCACGTGACACAATGCACAACCTTTTTCAACCTTTGCGCCTTCTCTTTCTTCCTCGTTTCACGACACGTCAATCAAAATATTCTCTGCTCTAACACCGCTCACATGAATCCTCATTCCCCCTCTTTTCAAATGACAGGATTCCACATTATCTCGAAATCGGCGCGTGCTCCGTGAAAGCACGCGCGGAATATCACTTCTCCCTCCTTCAGGTTTCATCACCTCCTTGACTCGCTGCTGCAGCCCCATCACCTAGAACCTGATCGAATTTCTCTTCACCGTCATTGAACATAATCGCAAAATTGATATCAGAGCCGAATCTGTCCTTCAATGACGCCCTTACCTATGATCCGTCTTCGGGAATCTCTCAAGGCAGCGGTGGAGCGCAACCGGTCGAGGCCCCACAGAATCTCCTCATATTGGAGTACGAGAGCATCACTTCAAGAGCGAGACAAAGCAGTTGACGAACACAAAAAAGAATTTAATTATTCACAAGATAAATAACTTTACACAAAAGTCTCGTCATCCACCGGTATATTACAGTATCTGACACAGCAGCGGCTGGCTAGCCTAGTCAGCTCTTTTAGCGCCCCTTCCAATGCAATTTCCCTTATTTCTTGACATCGAATCGGTCCAGGTTCATGACCTTGACCCAGGCTGCTGCAAAGTCAGCCACCATCTGGTCCTGCCCACCGGCCTCTGCGTAGACCTCAGCAATGGCCCTCAGTTCGGCATGTGAGCCGAAGACGAGATCTGCACGCGTAGCCGTCCACTTTGTTTTGCTCGTGGCGCGGTCCTTGCCCGTGTACAGCTCACCGGTGGAGTCCGGGGTCCACACCGTGCTGATATCAAGCAGGTTGGTGAAGAAGTCGTTGGTGAGCTTGCCAGGGCTGCTCGTTAGGATACCTTTTGAAGAGCCATCATAGTTAGCGCTGAGGGCACGCATACCACCAACGAGCACCGTCATCTCGGGTGCCGTCAGCGTCAGCTGCTGTGCTTTGTCGACGAGGAGCTCCTCGGTGCGGGCAAGGGCCCAGCCAGAGCTGTTGCGGAAGTTGCGGAAACCGTCGCCCTGCGGGTTGAGGTTCTCGAAGCTGGCAATATCTGTCATATCCTGGGTGGCGTCCACACGGCCAACAGTGAATGGCACTTCGAGGTTATTGTAGCCAGCGGCAGCAGCAGCCTGCTCAACAGCTCCGCATCCGCCGAGGACGATAAGATCAGCCAGCGAGACTTGCTTGTTATGGTGGGCATTGTTGAAGTTGGTCTTAATTGTATTCAACTGGATGCGGTAGTTAGTATCAACGGCTGTATTGCCAAAAAAAAAAAAAAAAAACATAATGGAATGGGCCAAGACTTACGGCGGCCAGGACTGTCTTTAGCTGTTTGGGGTTGTTCACTGCCCACGAAGCCTGTGGTTGCAAGGCAATGCGAGCGCCATTAGCACCACCGCGCTTGTCACCGCCACGGAAGGTCGAGGCAGAGCCCCACGCCACAGAGACGAGGCTTGAAATGGTCAAACCAGGGGCGGCAAGGATTTGTGCCTTCAATGTTTTCACGTCGGCATCATTGATGGAGTCATAATTCGCTTTGGGGAGGGGATCTTGCCAGATGAAATGCTGCTTGGGCACCTCGGGGCCAAGGTAGCGGGCAATGGGACCCATATCACGGTGAAGGAGCTTGACTATTGTTTTCTATGTCAGTAAAGATTCGAAGGTCACAGCAAGAAAATCTGCGAGGTTGAACACTTACACCATGCGGCGGCAAAGGCATTGGTCAGTTTGGGGAAGTCATTCACCCAGGACTTGGCAATGACGCTGTAAACGGGATCAACAAGTAGTGCAAGATCGCTGACCAGCATAGTGGCGTGGCGGAACGTGTGGTTGAATGGATCAGGGTAGTCAACAGTGCTGTCCAATGCTATGTACTGCAAGGCGCCTGCAGGGCTTTTGGTCAAAGTCCAGTTGTTATGAAAGAGGCTGTTCAGATAGTCTGACAAGAGACGGAGTTAGTGCGTGGGACCGGTAGGAGCGGGAAGGATGGGCTTTACCATTGCTCCATTTCGTTGGCGTCTTTGACCAGATAACTTCAAGCCCACTGGTGACGGCGTCATCAGCATTTCCAGTGCCAACGCTGTTGGCCCATCCAAAATCCTGCGCTTCAAGGGGAGCACCTTCTGGAGGAGGACCCAAGGCTACAAAGCACACGTCAATATGGATTGCATTTACGGTGAGCCGGTGCTGCCTGAGAAATACTCACCTGCGGTAGTTGCGCCGTGTGCCTTGCCAAAGGCGTGACCTCCGGCTATCAGGGCAACGGTCTCGGAGTCATTCATACCCATTCGGCCGAAAGCCTCACGAATGTCGAGGGCTGACATCTTAGGATCACCATTACCATTAGGGCCTTGTGGGTTGACGTAGATGAGGCCCATATGAGTAGCGGCAAGAGGCTCCTCTAATTTGTTGGCGCGCCCTACGAAGTCGGTACTACCATTATACCGGATGTCATTTCCTTCAGGAACGAAGGTTGTCTCGGCACCCCAGAAGACGCTCTCATCCGACTGCCACGTATCGGGACGACCAGCTCCAAAACCAAGGACAGGGAAGCCCATATCCTCGAGGGCTACGTTACCGGCAAAGAGCATCAAATCGGCCCATGAGATGGACTTGCCATACTTCTTCTTGAGGGGCCACAGTAGACGGCGGGCTTTGTCAAGATTTCCGTTATCGGGCCAACTGTTCAGCGGAGCAAAGCGTTGCTGACCCTGTAAGGGGAACAAAGTGGTTAGCCCTCAGCATTCAGCAGCCAGGGATCAAGAGTTATACCATGCCACCACCCCCACGTCCATCAACGGCGCGGTAGGTACCCGCACTGTGCCAAGACAGACGAATGAATAGACCACCATAGGTGCCGAAGTCTGCTGGCCACCAAGGCTGCGACGAGTGCAACAAGTCTTTGAGATCCGACTTGAGGGCCTGATCTACATGGCGTCAGGCCATCTGCATCACATGACTCAACACTCGGTGCTACTTACAGTCGAGCTTATCGAAAGCGTCGGCATATTCAAAGTTACCCCCGAAGGGATTCTGTTCAGGTGAAAACTGGCGGAGAACATCCAGCTTCAGCTGACAGGGCCACCAGTCATGACTCCGAGTCCCACCACCGCCTGCGTCGCTGATGGAGGGGCACTTGCCGAAAGAGTTAGCGAGCGTGGTGAGGGATGGTTCGTCCCCTCTGGCGGCCAAGAGGTCTCGCTTGCCAACGCTGGCATAAGGACAACCTTGGGCAGAGACGAGGGGCAGGAGCCCAATTAGTAAGGACCGTATGGAGGGTGCCATGATTGAAGTAATCGGCAGTCTAAAGATTGGACATGGGAGAGTCGGGCTGCAATCTGGGCCGATGAGAAAGGGAGAAGAACGTCGTGTCTCTACCCTCGTGGCCTCTACACGACCTTTATATTCCACTTGTGCACAGGCGGAGAATATTAGGAGGCTTACACCTCAAATTCTCACGTGCATATTGGCGTAAGCCGATATTTGGTTCGTTGGCGGTATTATACGAATCTCAACCTCATTGGACGCCCAGAAATCTAAATTATTGCCAGACGGCACTGCAGCAAGGCTGCTGTTAGAAAATCTCCACTACAGTGTGACCATACAGGGTCATTCTGGCAGTCCCTGCATGTAGGTTTGCCTCGAGCTTCCTTCTTGGGACCTACCGATTCCACCCCGCTCACTAGGTTAGAAAACAAAAACACACAAGGAAGCTGCTCGAACATGCGTACCGAGATTGATCGTCAAATGTAACGTTGGGACTTTACATGGGCATGGGTCATCCTTGTAAGGCCAGCTGGGATTACAAAGTTTGAGCGAGAAACCCCCGAATCTCTTTTTCCCCGCTTTTTATGATCATCTCTGTAAGCTAAGCTGATCCTGACTTGGCATACGAGAACGGAAAAGAACGAGCAAAACCGATGAAAGAAGCCCGTGATTTCTTGGGCCCGCATGAGTTGGTAAACACCAGCTGCCGGAAGTGGCAGTGTGTAGCGGCTTCGTCCGTGTCGCGGCACACTTATTATTGTCACATTGAATTCTCCCCAGCTGCCGAACAACCTTGAACCTTGGCTTGGAGACCCCTGATTTCCACAACCCCACATCCGGCAATGTCGGTTGCTGTATCGGCTCTTGTGTTGGTTCGGTTAGCTAACCGAAGCCCCTGAGTGATGGTGGCGCTTGCTGCATTTTTGTGCGACCCTCCTTCACTCTCTGCGGCCAGTCCTGCGTCCGCATCGTGGCTCGTGTCAGCTTACAGATTTGAGGCTTCTGGGGTACCACAGCTTGCCTGCATATTTCCATCAAATTTGGTCAATGCTCTCTCCATTCTATTTTAAAATATTCGGCACCAAGCACTCATTAGAGCCTGAGGTTTAAATCGGAATGGCTCCCTCGATCTCTCAAATAACCCATGTCGTGTTTTGGGGCTGGCTGGACGCTATTCATTATTTGCGCAAAACTTCCTTTTGCAGCAGCAACAAGCCACAAACAAGCCAATGACATCGCACAGCACATAAGGCTCAAAACAACCAATATTAAGCCTCAAAGTCTTAAACAGACGATTTTGTTCTGGGCACTTGCCGTGAGACATGTTTCAATGAATTCAGGTACCCGGGAGTGCTGCATGCATCGTGATTCGTGAAATTGGATCGTTTTGCTTTGGTCGTGCAGAAGGTGGAAATTATTTTCTAAAACGCGATCACGATGGGGCACATTCTGTGCGATCACATGCTGGTTAGATGAGATGCGACTTCGAGCAAGCCTTCGGTAGTGATTTCAATTAGCTGCATTGTTGAGGCCAACGTCGATCTACTCAGTCGATCAATCACAGGACGTTGATTTTTTGTCCTTTCTCTCTGTTATTACATTTGTTCCTATTTTTTTCTTGCTGCCTGAGTAGTCTCGCCTCCGAGTTCCTCGCCATGTTTGTTCCCCCATTGTCACCCCTTGAATGACTAAGCGCTGTACCGCTAAAGCCTTGTTTCACACTCAACTCAGTCAAGACAATTGTCTTGAAGTTGTCTGATGGGTCTCACCGTTATGCGGCTATCTTCTCTCACGACCTGTTTAGGGGATTTTTAGATCACCGGTAATCTTACAATTTAGGTTCTCCTTTTGTCCATTGAGCCTTTTCCACATCGAATTTGAAGCGCTTGCTGCTCTATTCGCGGACACCTGAGGAGACCCCTTCTACGACACATTGCGATATGACTTTCTATCCTTCCTCAAGAACATCGTTGTTGAAATACACCACGTTGACAACACAAAAGCCTCCCTTCACAAGCCACTATTGTCGCCCCTCCTTTTCCTCTGAGCTGCATCATTTTCCAAATAAATGCTCTTCAGTTCATAGTAGGTCGCTCCCCCAAACGACGAGAGGCAACCAAAAACGCCAAACCTCTCTTCTGCCTCCTCGCGACACCTTCCACAGCTAACACAACTGTCTGCATACTGCCCGTTGCCTTCAGCTGAACAGGCCCCTATCTGCACCATCATGACCAGTCTCCCTCTGCCAAGCCTCGAGCATTTCCCAAATTAAACCTCTTCTACTCCGGAGCACTCCTCTTCTCCTCCCAATCGTGATTATTTGTACTCGATGTGATGCCCAGCTCTTGGTTGGACTCCGAAGTACGACCTTTGCTTGCGTCCGACGCTCTGCATCCGAGCTTCCGAAACGATGCGACTTGCATTCCAAATCACGCCCATCAAATTAAATTACCCCGCTTCATAGGGAAAGCTGTAAGGATCACTTGTGCCAGCGAACTTTTAACTTTGCGACTTATGACTTATGACTCGGCACGTACGCTTCAATCTACTGAGGCTTGGAGTCACATTACATTGCACTTGACGTTGTGCACATTACAATCCAAGTTTTCGTTCCTATTATTATTAAAATATCGCGATACTCTAACATGGAAAGCTTAGACTTAGCGAATATATATTTCTCCCTATTATCTTTAATTTAGAATAACCGTCGACAATTCCTCGCTTTGCTAGGGTCGACTTGCAATAGCAAGTGTCGCGCCCACGTGGCCTGGCTCTGGGCTTGGAAAGCAGGTTAGAGTGGCTCTTATTCCGAGAATACTAAACTAAGGAGAGAAGTATGTAATAGTCGGACTAAACGTTACTTCTAAGAGGCCCTACTCATAGTCGGCGAAAGCAATCTGTCCCGCGCTAATTTGTATGTAATTTTATACCAAAATTAAAAAATCGAGAAAATCAAAAATTTTACCCGCCAAATTTCACGGTAACACACAACTAAAAAGCCTTCTTTGCTTTATAATCTAATTACCCACACAATAAAGTAAAATTTAAACCCTAAGAAGTAAAGCCTAATACTTATAATTTAATCTCTAATTTAATTTTATATAAATTGCTTTAAAAGGCATAAAGTTATGTGTCCTTTAATTATCTCTTTATCTAGTAAAGCATTACTAGCGTATTAGCTACAGCTGTAATGCCCAATAAAATTCCTGGGACCACATAATTTTATGCCCCGCCAGCCAAGCCAGAGCCCCCTGCCCACGCTAGTAATGTCTCACCGGACAAAGAAATAGTTTCTATCTCAAAATTTGGCAATTTTCACGCTTATTAAGCATGGGACACTTCGCTTTTACGGGACAAATGGCTTTTGCCGATTATAGGAAAGGCCTCTTAAAAGCAATATTTGGTTCCACTATTACAAGTATATATATAGCAAGCAAGCATACTAAATATCGTAGCCCGATATAGCCAAGAAATAACTTGTATAAAATTTGTTACGATAAGGTAATATTGCAGTGGTGGTGTGACGGCGGGATCGAGGCAATGGCCAGGGCTCAAAGATCCAAGAATCTCATGTATTGAAAATACTAAGCTAAAGAGAAGAAGGAGAGAGAGAGGAAGGAAAGGGGATAAAAGGAGGGAAATACTAGCTAAAACCACTGAAACGCCGGCTAGCTAGGTGAAACCAGTCATGTGACAGCCACGCCCAGCCAGCGCCGTCACAGGTGGTAAAGAGCTTGAATTGAGCTAAAGGCTGTGCGCCCGGCTAAAAGCACTGGCTACACGCTAAGTCACGTGCAGTGACACCACGTGACTAGTGCCACGTAACAAAATTTAAATAATTCTAATTATTTAAACTTATATGTAAAGGAATTAATTATAATTAAAAAAAATTAATAATAAAATAATAAGAGAGTTATATTAAAAAGAGATAAAAAAGAAAATAATAAGAAAGGAACTCTTATAAAATAAGTAAGATAAATTAAGTACGAGCTTAAAGTAATAATATATAAGAGTCTTTTAGTTTATTATAAATATAAATATTAAATTAGTATATTAACCGGCGATTTTTAATAAGTAATATTATAATAAAGTAGAGAATTAATTATAGCCCTTAATAGATTAATTAGAATTTTAAGAGCTTCTTAAATTCTATTAATTTGTTAAGCTCGTAAAATTAAAGTGGGAAATGTAAAGTATGTAATGCCAAGAGCTAAGTGCGCAATGTCAAGTGCAATGGTGATGTGAGCCTACAAGGGTCTGAGGCCTCCTTAATTTATAATCCCCCCACAACCCCAGATTACGGAATGCGGGTTGATATTGTGGCTTTCGACCCTTGGGTTGTTGGGTCGCAGCAATTTTGGCCGAGGATTTTGCCGAAGGAAAAAGCATAATCGTTTGGCAGTTCCGGATTGATCAGGTGAGGGGTAGCAATACGAAAATCGCGAGCAAACAAAAATTAAGGCGTTGTGGTTGGGTCAGTTCGCTCGAATTGCCCACATAAGTTTTGGTGTGATTATCGTATTGCTAGTCGGCCTAAAATCTGATCTACCCTCTCACCCGCTGTATTAAGCTGGCCAATTAGTCAACGGGAGTTATTAGGCCATTAATGTCCCCATTAACGTCGCTATCGCTGTTGCCGTCGCCCCCTAAAGTACCCTAAATATCCTTAACACTACCACTTTTCAGTGAGGATATCGCGATTTATATTATAGACTTATATACTTTCATATATTACTCGTATATTTTATTTTCGCGATTTAAATATACTTTTAGAGAGGTTTTTATTAAAGTTCCATAAAGTTTGAGAATTGGAAATAGCTATGGAGGTCGCGGCCATAAGTATTGCCCGGCAGCGAGGGAAGCACTGTAACTACAGGGCCTTGCAGGCTTTCCGGGGCCAAAATATAGCGTACAGGCCCTATAAATATCGCTAAACCTACTCTTTCTACAGATTATGGAGCCCGTAAGGTTCATCGCATTAAGTAATTGGCCAGCTTAATGCGGCGGGTGGAGAGGGTAGATCAGATTTACTGATAACACAGCAGGGTAGATCGGATTTTGGGCCTTGCTAGTCCTCACCTGATTAGCGTACTGAGTGAGTAATTCAGGTGAGAACTGTTGAACTAGCTAAGTAATAAAGCTAGGGTCACGTGCTTGCAATGTAAACCAAGTAAACGATACTGAATTGACTGCTGTTCTACAGTAGTAAGTAGCCCGTATATATAGCCCTGAACCCCCTAAGTCACATGTACTAAATCCCTATGCCAGCTGAACCGATTACAGCTATACAGGGGCATACAGCTATGCAGGGGCATACAGCTATACAGGGGCATACAGCTATACAGGGTATTCCAGCCGTACAGGGTATTCCAGCTATACAGGGTATTCCAGCTGGACAGGGTATTCCAGCCGTACAGGGTATTCCAGCTATACAGGGTATTCCAGCTGGACAGGGTATTAAGCTAGTGCACAGCCCCATGGCGTTCGGTTCCAGGGCTTACTAAGCCTATTAGGGGCCTCAGGCCCCTAATTTCAACAAGAACTGCCGAACGATTTTTGTGATGGCACCAATGAATACGGAGTTCGCTTTGGAGCTCGTAATCAATTAGATTTCTCGACGCCGATATCAGTAGCATACGACCTCTAGATCAAAGTAATGGTGCTGGCGTCCCCTCCATATTGGACACCATTCATAATACCATGAATATAGCACGGGCCAACGAGAAGGTAAAACCCCGCTCCTTGCACAAGCCGGACAACGAATGGATACGCCGATCCGTTGACGATTGCAACGAGACCACCTTGCTGCGTACTTGGCGGTGCAAGACCAATTAGACCACCTTGTGTTGCGATGAAAGCGACCGCGTGCATGGTTTCACGAATACATTTATAGAACAACGCAGCCTGCTGCGCTTCAATGCTAAGGTCCTTCGAAGAGCCGAATTCTTCGTTGTCGAGCCACAGATCAACTAGAGGCTTTTTCGCCACTTCGCCATTCTTGTCCAGACAGTGTTTTTCGTAGTTGCGGGCAAGTGCCGGGAAAATGTAAAACGACCCCCCCCCCCCCGGGGGGGGTCGATTGGGGGGCGGACTAACCTAAAGTAGAGAGGAACACCAAAAAATCTAGTTTTCCTTTAAGTTTAATTTATTATATAAAGAATTATTATAATTTGATTATTTTTCTTAGATTATAGAAAGCCAGATTATAAGCTAATAGGATATAAAGTTTTATTATATAATAATTAGTAAATTTAAGAAAATTTAAAGGTAAGGAAAGTCGGAATTTTTAAGGCACTATTAGAGCCTGAAAATTTAGCGATCAAGCGCCTGGAACTAATTTACCTCGTACGCAATTATCGCCTCGCCTATTCTATGCCCCGAATTAGAGCTCTTATATATAAACTTCCTTATAACTATATTAGGAAAACTGATTCGAGAGAAGGACTTAAGTAAGTACAAGCAACTAATTAGACATTATTGAAACTCTCAAATCCATTGATACGTCTAATCGACACCCGGGGGGGATATCGTTTTACATTTTCCCGTTTTTTTTTCGGGGGGCGATAATCTTACATTCATCTTTCCTCCTCCCCGACCGAACAAAACCACTCGCCCCTCATGTCTCCCTCCGATATGCTATCGGAGTTGGTAACGCTCATCGTTTCTCATCTCATTACCCCGAGTGAAACAGCATCAACTGGCCAGCTTCAGACACCTGACAAAGTCGCCATTTACGCAACGGTCTCCAAAGACTGGCAGAAATGTATTGAGCGGCATACATTCTCGAGTATACTACTTACACCTGCTCGTCTCGATGAGTTTGACCAGATTATTCGAGGTTCACGTCGAAAATATGTCCGTCTCATCGCGCTTGACGTGGTTCTCGATTCCTACGATGAAGAGGCGTGCGGCAGATATGAGACTGAGGAAGATCAGCAGAAAAATAATCGACTCTTCATTCGAACACTTCAACGTCTTTTCCTGACCATGAGCTCATGGGAAGGTGTACAGGAAGCTGACTTGGGCATTTACATGAGTGTGAAAGTTTACTCACCTAGTGACCTCTCACGTCTAGGACAAGAGGAAGGCAGGACACGAAGGGCACTAAAGAATAGAATAGGAGGTGCAAACGACACTCTTGATCGCAGGTTTGATAAGTCGTATCTACGCCTTGTCAACCCCAAGAATGATGGCAAGGCGTCTGCTCTGCCACATTCTGTGTCTGCGATCACTGAGATTGATATCACAGCTGGAAATTTACGTCACATGTGCCCTGCATCATGTTCTCTCATTCTCTCCAAACTGCCTGGACTCCGCACTTTCAATGCGTATTTATGGGATAATGAAAGGAAAGACTTGGATTTGCGGAAAAGGGCTCGACATGGTAGCTATTCGTCTCGCAAAATTCGTTTTCACGGCACGCTAATTCTTTGTGTAAAGAATTTGCAAGCAGCATCAATCTTTGGCCGGCTTCAATCAACAAGGTCGATCTCCAATATTACAACGTAGGGCCAGCAGATGAAACCTTTATACCGCCAAATATTCTCCCCAGTTCCAGCAACCAAGATCCCCTGAGCAGCAATCTTCGAGCTTTCTCGCAGCAACTCACTGATCTAACCCTTGCAGATATTACTATTGGGGCCTAATTTTTCTGGCCATCAGCAGCGAGCCAAACCTCAGATCCACTGTCACCCCACTGGCCCCACCTAACTTCATTAATAATCAACTACACACCCATCACCCCCTCCGGCCAATGGCTTTTCGAACGCGATCCAAACGAGGAAGAGGAAGAGATTGAATGGGGTGAAGACCCCGCGCTCTACATGGAAGAAGATGAGCTTCCAGCACCCCAAGACCAACGGGTACTCGAGCTCCCGCTTAAATGCACGGCCCGCTTAAATGCACGCCTAACCAGAAAACTAAAATATTTAATTATAAAATAACCACAAATTATATTTATAGAAAGTAAACTATTATAGAATTACTAGGTACTCTATTTTTGTACTTTATATTAATTTTGTAATAATTTTATAATTTTATTAATAATATTTATACTTTTGGAGAAATAAGTAATTTATTAAAAGAATTAATAACTTTTATAATAATTATAAATCTTATAAAATCTTTATATAATTATTTTTATAATGATTTATATTAAATTTCATAGCTTAAATATAATCTTTAAATACCTTTTAAAAGAAGAAATATAATTTTAAAATTTCAAAAATTTCAAAAATTAAGATTTATTATTTATTTTTTAATATAATTTAGAATAATTTAATTTAAAGGAAATCTTTTAATTAAATTTCCTTACTATAATTATAAAAGGAGTTCAAGAACTTAAAAGTATAAAAAATACTTATTATATATATAATTTAAATTTATTTAAATTCTTATATATTAATTAAAAATAAAATAAATATTAACTTTTAAATATAGTTCTTGCCTTATAAGAAACTTATATTATTAAAAAAATTTAATAAATACTTATTTAATTTATTTAATTTAAAAATTATTAAAAAAAACTATAATATTTTAATATATAAAAGATTAAAAATTAAATAAAAATATTTTTAAGTTTTTTAAACTTTATATAAGTAATATAAGCTATTTTATTTAAGTTTAATTAATAGCTTTTATTTAAAACTATTATTATTAATAATTTTTTTATACTTTTTTAAAAATTAAAAAAATTAATATTTCAATTACTTAATAATACGTAAAATATAAATCTTTTATAAATAATTATATATATTAATATATAAAACTGAAAAAATTTAAAGTTATATTTTTAGATATTTTATTCTTATATAAATTAATTTTTAAAAATATTTTTTTAAGAAAAAATTTATATCTTTTATAAATCTTTAAAATAAAGTACTTATATTTACGATATTATAATTTTTAGGATTATATTATATCGCTCTTACTATTTTTATATATTATATTTCAAGAAGTAAGTTTTTTTACTAATTAATATAAAAGTTATAAAGGTATTAAAAGTATAAGTTTTCGCGATTTTCTATGCAATTCGGCCGTGCATTTAAGCGGGGCGTGCATTTAAGCGGGAGCTCGAGTAAATCCTTTCCGTAAGAAAGCCTCTCCGGAATTAATGAATACGTTCTATGTCGCTGCTGGGAAGGCGGCTGGAAAGATGCCGGTTTTGAGACAGATGTGGCTTGCTGCTTCTACGGGGACGAGATTGAGTCATTCGTTTCAATATACGGCGACTGCAACGAGTGCGTCGGTTTGTTGGAGGAGTACGCCGTTGTTTGAGCCGAGTGAGGAGGTTTTGGATGTCTGGAAGGAGGCGGCGAGGAAGAATTTGGAGGTGGATTTGGTGATCAGCTGCGTGGAGGGGTATTGAAAGACTCAAGATTGCGGTACGGCAACTTTAAGGATTTGAGAGATCGTGGAGTTCGTTTAGTCGCCGTCCCCAGAATGAGTCACTGATTTCACCAAGCGGTGTTATCCTTTAATTTCTGGGCTGTTTTCGCACATTTCGTATGTTTTTGGGGGGCGTTTTAAGAGAACTAAGGAGAATAAACGATCCCAAAATCTCATGAACACAAAAATCGGCCTCGAACAGATTTTTAAAACTAAAATTATCGTGTCTACAGTTTATCAACATCAAATTCTCAAGTGACAATGCCCTCGCCGAGTGAGCCAAATTAATTACAACCAAAATAACTCAAATGTGCCCAATCACGAAAAAAACACCAACACAATAAGCCTCATTCGCCCAGAAACTATCACTTCTGTTAGCGAATATCTACCCCATATCTTTTTCAGATGTACTTACTTCTCACAATCATTATTCAACACCGGATTCCACAAATCTACCCCTCCAAAAGTCAGCCCCATCCCATCACTCGTCACCCCAACATAATTACTTACAAAGATTAGCCAGCGTAATGCCCTGAGCAGCAGCAAAATCAAAACATCCACCACTCGTAACTATCGCATATTTGTTGCAGTTGGCTGGGATGCCGGATTGTGTTGGCCCGGGCGGAGTAACTGATGTTTTTCTTGTTGTGGGGGTTATTTTAGAGGATGTGGAAGTTGTTTTGCTGGTTGTTGTGATTGGTTTGGACGTGGTTGAGGTTGTTGAGGAGATTGTGGTGGGTGCTTTGACGCAGTAGGCGTCGCCGGCGATGAGGGATGCGCATGTAGCTAGGGAAGAAAATAAATCAGCACGAAAAAGTTGCAGAATTCAGAAGGGATGCAACCCGGAACAAGAATGGCGTCTCAACAAGGCAACAGGGGGTCTTACTTCCAACAGCGGGATTCCAAGCATAAAACTGTGCCAGAGAGATATTGTACGATGTAGCAATGGCACCACATCCATCCCCACCTTTAGCGGCATACCAGGCTTGGCAGTTTGCTACAATTCCAGTTTGTGTTGGTGCTGGTGCGCCACTTTTTGTCGTGCTCGAGCTGATTGTGGTGGTGTGCGGGTAGGAGACGTTCTGCTAGCCGGGGCCTGCTACGCAGCACTTTTGAATTTTATTAGCGTATTCGTCAGTGGGAAGAAACTATAGCACCTGCCGAAGCACTTGTCCATAATGATCCGCAATCAGAACCTAGATACGACGTAAGCAACATAGTTTTGGGGACTAGGCAGAGCGCTTACCAACTGCGGGGTTCCATTTGTAGAATGAAGAAAATGGGATATCAAATGACTTGCATATCCCATCACAAGTGTCGCTTGAAAGTCACTAATTATTAGCTTTCTCACTGTATATCAAACATGTAAGGTTATAATAATCACTGAGCACGATGTATACATCAGGATTCAATTGTGAAAACTACTTTATGAGTTACGGCTCTGAAGTCTCTCCGTTCTCCAAGGATACCTATTCCATATTTATTGCGGCATGAAAATATACTCGCAGTCTTCTGTCAAGAAAATTCTAGTAGTCTACCAGCACCCCGCTCGCCTGGTTTTTAGAATCCCAACTGTCAAAAACCACAGCTCGCTTGAGTGAGATCCGATCGAAGCATACCACGAGACTCGCGCAATTGAGTGGCAGTAGAAGATCGGAAGCCTGATATCAGTAAACGGGTAGCACCATTCACACTTACATTCTGAATACCTCAATTCACATCAAATTCCAAAGAAGTGATCTCATGCTGATTCAGAATTCACCTTGATCAGCTGGTCATCCCCTGTTGTTCCCATTATAAAGTAGAGTAACGCAATTTTCCCCAAAAAGATTATCAATTTGGGACTTATATCCACGACAATTGCTCAGCATCATAGACTCTCGCTCAGTCAGGTCACGCTGAGCCCTCTGTCCCGCTCTTCAGCGGTTCCTTTATGTTTAATTTGTGTACGGTGTACACTGGACTTATGTCCCCACATCTTTTTTCACTCATCAGCTCTCCATCACAATTCAGTCTATTCTCCAGCCATGCATATAAGATTGAATAACGGAATTCTTGCAACCAAAAATGTGGCTAAGCTGTGTGAACTAACTCTTTCAAGAACAAACTCCTGACAGCTTCCAGATGCAGGGCTATTGCACTAAATAACCTCGACTGTCTTTCTCCGAAGTCGACTATGCTAACGCCACTATTCAGTGCCTCTCCAGCCCGCTGGTTGAGGGCAAACTCATCAATCTCCCACGAAATCTTCGGGGGAGTGTGCCAGTGACTTTGTACGGTGTACATCGGTCTTATGGCCACTCTTCTTCCCACCTGTATTTGAATCGGAATTGTCACACTCTTCTTCTGATGAGTTATATTCCCCAGCGCTATTCGTAGTTCAACAGCTTGGCCACTTCTTTTTTGGTTTTGGATTCCGGTTTCTTTTGAGACATTTGAACGTGGTAGGTTCAGCCGCTTTGCACAGAAAGCCCAATCTCGTTAATCTTCCTGAGCTCAATATCAAGTCGTTCCCACACCGAATGCAGTGTTTCCTGTCTCTTCCTCATCTCGGAAAACATAATCCGACACATAAACGCCATTTTTCTCGTGCTGAAAGGCGCAATTCTTTTGGCAATGGCGAGATACTTGTACATTGAGATCAGCGTTCTCTACATCTCGTAATCGAGGCTTTCAATGAGTGATGCTACTGTCAGAGACGTTCCAATTTCCCAGGCGATATCCAGCGGCACTGGGTTCTCATTGATCGAATTGAGAATTTTGATGAGACTTGCTTGGGGTGGGACACTTGCTTTTCCCAACTATGAGCGAAGCGCAGTAGGAGTGCGCACTTGCCTCGAAGGTGGCCAAGCTCCAGCCGATTATTATGTCCTACAAGGCTCTTATAAAGACGGGAGCAACGAGTTCTGTTATCCTAACAAAATTTCTTTCCAAACAGGCCCCGGAGGAAAACTGTCCTCGACAATGCCATTGGGGATGCTGCCAATTCCTCGCCGCTCTGCAATACCATCGATCAATTCTATAAGCATTACTCGGTACTCAGAATGGCGCTCACCTCTAGACAGAAGAATGAACTCATACGGCTCGTTAGAATCAAAGAAAACTGATTCTTCAAAGCTATCAAGCGAAATGGGGCCCATCTTCGTTCCATCTTTAAGAACAAGCGTACAATTCCCCGTAAAGTCCTCGTATTTGGAAATCTTGCAAAATATCGCGATGGTCCAGAACTGAAGAAGATGGTACGAAAGTGGTCGAGGACTGAATGACAACCCCGTCGGAGCAGTGCGTGAGGTGTCAATACCAAGGGGTACGGGCGGATCGAAGCTTCTGCCGGAAGTGAGATGTGTCCAATGCTGGTTTTCAGGGTCCCGGACGGGACTGATTTTACCGGAAGGGCTTCGTTTATACCAAACGATCCAGCAGTTGTGCTGGATAACTGCCGTTATCACAGAACCATATGGATACCTGATGCGGAGGGCCCCCCTCCACCCTGCCCAAGTGTAACTCGGGAAGCCAACTCTTCGTTGTAGACTATTCCCTTGACAAGCTTCAAATGCAAGACAGACGTCCAAGATATGAGAAGGCAGCCCTTCCAGGAAATCATAACGTAGAAGACTTGAAAATCGTTGCGTAATCCCTGACATTGCGCGCAAGGTATCTCTATCATTTGACAGAGCACGTTTGGAGTAGTCCATGACAAGCGAACAGTATCTTCCTCCATGATCTTGGATTTCGTTTTTGCGAGGGCTGAGATCATTCCGTTCCGGTTTCTGTGGTTGGGGATGGTCTAAACAAGACTCTGAGTATTCGGCGCTAGGGCACCGGTAGAAGACTTTATTGTCTACAAAGTAGAGAGCTCGTCGGCAGAGTAGTTCCTCTTGGTAACTGTATACAGAAAGTTAGTGTGATATAAATGTGCCGGCAAAGATCACACTCACGTCCACCCCCTAGAACGGTAGATAGAGTTCCGCATGAGGAGTTCCAGATTGGAATACACTCCAAGAAAGACCCCTTTCTTCACCTCGACGGCAGTTGTAGTCTCAATTCGGCTGTTTGGGTGGATTCCAGGGAGTCCGGCATTTGCATTGTGGCCACAGGCGGCCACAATGGTGAGCCAAGATTGCTCATACACCAGATCCATAGCGTTCACGCCGCGTTCGAGATCGTCGCTATCGTTTTGCAAAAGGCACAGAGCGTCGACCCATAGGTAACGAACCTGTAACTGCCTGACTAAGGCTATTGCATCCTTAATTGTTCTCGGGATGTTGTGGACTTTTTCGAGGGAGCCTGCGACAAATAATTGGCTTCGATTGGACGTGGTAAGCCTGAAATTTGGTACAGTACCCCACATATAGCTCAGAGAGACATATTTTGGCACTTCTTGCGTTTCCACGAGACAGTTCTTGAAAACATCAATGAACCGTATAACGAGCAGGCCCCGGAATGCCTCTCTGAAGTCCTTGTTTACGACGGGGACACAGTCACCAGAATGTGTTGTTGTACACCTGGATATCCAGCTAGTGACTCTAGAGATGTCCAGTTTTTCAGGAATGATTGGGTTCAGAAAATAAGCATCGTCGGCGAACGTGGTGGCGGCGCATTTGGTCACGAAGCAGATGGTTGGTGTTTCTGATGCCAGCGAGGATAACCCCTTCACACTGAACACCGTTCGCTGGATTGGTGGCGGGAGGACGAGCCACGCGACACTGATGGTCTTGTCGGGATAATGCGGATTCACTTGGTCTCCCGCCCTGTATATCTCATGGGCCACACGTTTCACCAACTTACAGAGCGGACACTGGCTCTGCTGGATTCGCGACCACTCGCCTAGGTTCCATCCAAGAACGGAGTGTTGATGCCAGAGTTCAGAAGCGGCTTCTGAGATTTTTTGGGTAGTCCAGGGAATTTTGATGCAATAAGCACACAGCGGCTCAATTGTTGGTTTGAAAATTTGGAACATGGTTCTAGACAGGCGAGGGAGGATTGATTTTTAACTTCTGCTAACAAATACAAGAGGACTTTCTGGGAGAAGTATTGTGGAAAAGGTGGAAAGGGATGCCAGGGACAAATTCGGGCTGAACTCATTATGCTGAGTGGCTTTGTGGTGTGAAGCGTGTCACTACTCACGTGACTACTCCAGGCCTACCAGAAAGAGAAAATGTGCAGTAAAGCGTCTTAGAATCGTTGCGCGGCGGAGAGGAAGTAGGCGAGGCACAAAACAGATGAAGACCGTTAGACCAGGCGTGCCCGTTCTTAGGGAGGTTGTGATTCGCATCGAGATCTGAATCAGGAGGCAAGCCACTGCCTCAAAGGGTCTAGTGGGGGACCGGGGTGTGCAGATGTGGCTGGACCTTGCAGCTGATCTCAGATTGGAGATCTCAGCTCGACTTCTCTCATCCAATTTCTCAATTGCATCAAGTAGTCTTCAGCTTACATCAATTGCAATGGTTCCTAAGCTTAATTTCACTCCCCACGCCAAAGCCCCAGCAACACCTAAGAGACGCGAACTTGAAGTCGGTTCCCCAGGCCCCTCAGATCTACAAGAGAATCTCAAACCCCACCACGCACCTCCATCCACCTGACAACAAAATGGCATTCTCCACCCAAGACTCGCCGCTCTCAATAACCGCCTCCGTCTCCGGAATCCTCACCTTCCTCGCCGCCATCCTCGCCGCAGTCTACGTCCGCTTCACGTATCTGAGGAACGCGGATTCCGAGTACTTCCAAGTCAAGGCGAGTCTGAGCTGGTTTAAGACGGAGAGCACGTTTATGCATGACCTTGTTTCTACCTCTTCTTTGCACCAGGCTTTAGAAGAGATGGAGGATGGAAAAGGTGATGCGAGGGGTGGGAATGAGGAAAGTGGGAGGGGTAGGGGCAAAGAAAGAGAAATGTACGCTTTCGTGGTTGAGCAGTTGGGAAAGTTGGAGGAGAGGTTACTGGAGTGTTTGGCCGAGGCCGAAGAAGGTGTTGATCGGAAGCAAGATCGAGATGGGGAGAAGGGAGGAGAGGGAGGGGGGTGGACAATTGTTCCGCGGAGTGTGAAGGGACGCACGGATATTGCGATTAGTTGGTTGCCGGTCCGAAGGAGGGCGTTGGAACTGGTGAGGCAGAGGGATGCGCTGGGGAGTCGGGTGCTTTTTGCGCAGATGAGTATGATTAGTGAGTGAGTGATTTCTGATCTGTTTTGATGGATTGGGGAGAAGGAGGGGTGGAGTTGGGATTGAGACTGATTTCAATAGGAGAGTAAGAGATCAGGAAGCTAAGTCGAGGGAGAGGGAGGAGAGACAGAGGGATCGGTTGGAGAGGTTGGAGAAACTGGTTTATGCGCAGCATGAGAAATTGGATCGGCTGGAGGATCTGGTGTATAGGGTTATGCACCGGGATCGAGTCACCTCCAACCTCCCAGGACACGAGCAGATATCACCGCCCAGACGGTCAGAGACGGAAGCCACACTTTCAAACCCAGACGGAGAAGAGAGTGGCGATCAATCATATCCACAAACGATGCAGAAAGATAACGCCTCAGCAAACTTTTATCCGATTCCAAACATATGATTTTTTTTATAGGAAGGAATATCCTCCGTATTTCAGGAAGAGGACGCAGAAGATCAGACTGCTTGTCGCCCAGAAGATGTTGAGCTCTATCACGGACCAGATCCAGAGACAGCCGAGGGGAGGCGCCTGCTTCATGACTGCGTAATATCCATGCATATTCGTGATATATATCAGGTAGCATCCTGCAGCAACACTGCTGACGAAGAAGAGTAGTTGGTGGAGGAGAGGTTGTATTCGTGTGGATAGCCTTGGGAGGAAAATCGGAGGGGAAGGATGAGGATGGAAGGAGTAGAAGAGGAGAAGGATGACTGGATCTGTCAGCGTTGGCCTCGAAGGAGAGCTTTGCAACGTACTGGGAAATGCCTGTGCAGTCCTGGCAACTAGAGCAGGCCACTTGATCGCAACGGCGTATTGATTTGCTACCAACACGTCCAGTGTGAAATGCAGCATTGTGAGACTGATGCTCCAGAGAAGAGACTCGCCGAGTCTGCCGACCAGGGGCTCTCCGCTTTCGTCCAGCCCTTCTTCTGCGGCCTGCTGGGCCTTCAACAGTCCACGCTGCTCTGCGATCTCGAGGAGGGTCTCTTGTGAGGGATCCGGCCCCGATCGATTTGGTTGTGCCAGCTTGATCTTTGCATCCTTCCGCTTCCCCATGGTGTTGATCAAGTGCGGTCGAGTCTCGTTGCGGATATCCCTTCTTCTGTCCGACCCGAATGGACGAGCCTCAATAGTCTTCAGCCTCACAGTCAACCGTCAACCGTCCAACGTCGCCTGTGGTTCCCATTAATCGTCAGAACAACGTTGATGCTCTGACGGCTCATTGTGCGCGGCAACTCTAATAATCTTCCCTGCTGTGCCAGCGCCAGCCCACCATTCGGCGGCCCAGGCCGTCAATTCGCCTAGCGCGAAGCTTAAAAAAGTTAAACCTTCCCTCCCTTCCCTTCCCCAGACATCCCCAAGCGCAACTGTGGCTTCTCCTATCCCCCTCCATCGTCTCTTATCCAGCACGCGACACTCGCGACATTCGCGACACTCTCCCTTCCTCCAACCCCGTCCCGTCTCCCTCTCACGCCTAACCACCGCATACCGCGCACAACCATGCAGCTCGAATGGCTGACCATCCTGAGCCTTCCGATTGTCGCGATCGCCTGCTGGCTGTACACGGTCTCGGTCGCGAAATCGCGGTTCCCGAAGCTCAGGAATAAGAGGATATGTCTGCTGATTGCGCATCCAGACGATGAGGCGATGTTCTTTGCGCCGACGTTGCTGGCGTTGACGGACCCGAGTCTGGGAAACCATGTAAAGATTTTGTGTCTGAGCAGTGGTAGGTTCTGCTTCTTGGTGGTGTTTGCGACGAGGCTGACGGCGCAGGCGATGCGGATGGGCTCGGCGAGACGAGGAAGAAGGAGTTGGTGAAGAGTGGGATGTTGCTGGGTCTGCGGCAGGAGGACGACGTGTTTGTCATTGAAAGCGCGTATGTATCTCTGGTGCTGCAGGTGGCAGAGTGGCTGATTCTTTTCAAGGCATTTCCCAGATAGCATGACCACGACTTGGGATAAGCAGGCCATTGCATCCCTCCTCTCCGATGCCTTTGCGCCGAACCTTGCGAATCCGATGAAGAATAAATCGGCCGATGCGCCGACGGCTACAATCGATGTGCTCATCACGTTCGACAAGTTTGGCGTTTCTTCACATGCAAATCATATCTCCCTCTACCACGGCGCCCGCCATTTTATTGCTTCTCTTATACATAATCGACCTGGTTGGGGATGTCCTGTGGATCTATATACCCTGAACACCGTTTCCTTGGTCCGGAAATATACGACTTTCCTTGATTCGATAACAAGTCTTCTCGCAATGGCGTTCGGAAAGAAACAAATGGAGGCACATCCCAGTCCGCTGCTTTTCTTGAGCGGAATTGGGGAAGTGAGGATTGCACAGCAGGCGATGACCACAGCGCATAAGAGCCAGATGAGGTGGTTTCGTTGGGGATGGATAGGGCTGAGTCGGTATATGGTGGTGAATGATTTGAAGCTGGAGAAAATCACGGGAAGATAGATGACGAGTGTATGATTGATGTTTCGAGAAGATAGTTACGTTGTAATGATGGTGTGTATATACCTACATAATACATAAACCTCTTTGGTCTCCCACGATAGATGTGGTTGAGATTTTATATTTTGCTCGCTCGGATTTCTTGATTCAGCGTGCTTCACAATGAAAGTGGAAAGTATGCCACCCTCTATTCAAGTTGATTTCTCGTTCATTTTACCGTTTTCGTTACCCATGAAGTCTCACTTGCTATTGCGACGACCTCTAAGAATCTCGAAGCAGTGTTCCGTACCCCTTGAGGAAAGGATTGGGCTGCATGTGAGCTTGCAGCCTGCATCGAAGCGAACTGCGGGACGAGAAAGTCAAGCTCCTTCAACTCTCACACCGCAACATCGAATCTAATACATGTTCTTCTTCCAGCTTCATCATCCACCGTACAGAGATTCACTTGGATTTGGCGGCAGTGGCTGTTCGCCATGGTCCAGCCCACAATTCACAGATACTTCCGTTCGCCGCGACCAACTCAGGCGCTCCCCAAAGAGACTTTCCTCCGCCTCCCGTTCAGCCTCCGGCGTAAAATCTATCTTCTCGCAGGCCTCCCCGTCGACTCCACAATCTACCTCAACTTCATCCCTTCAAGTGAGGAACACTGCGTTCAAGAATACAACCCCCTTGACATTGAACACTGGCCAACGGAACCCAACATCAGGCCTCGAAGCCACAGTCTCTCCCACTTCCTAGACGGCTATCTCCCTTCGACTCACATTCGCCTCAATAGACATTGTGTATGTGCAGACTACGGTTCCAAAGCCACGCGCAACGCCAATAGCAGCTGTAGTGATAATGTCTGCACATGCACTCCCTTGCCATGGCAGCTGCTCTACGTCTCCAAAACCGTCGCGGACGAGGTATCCACAATCTTCTACTCGTCGAATCACTTTAGCATCTTTCGAGAGAGTCTCGGTCGCCTCTCTGGTCTTCACTCACTTCCCAAATGGGCGCTTGCAAAAATGAGGAGCCTGTCTCTTTGCCTGAATTACTCCGACCCAGATCCAATTCAGTATTTCAAAGAAAGATATTGGTGTCACGCTACATGCGCTGCATCTCATCAACATCGACTGTTCAGCAAGGCCAAGGCCCATGACGAGGCCTCTTCTATCGACGAATTAGAACACCTGTGTCAAGTCCTACGCACACACATCCAGCCAAATCAGCTGAGACTCTCATTCACATGCGATGTGGCGGATATCGAGATCGCAGAAGAGGTCCTCCGTCCGCTCTCCCAGCTTCCACATCTGAGAGAATGCTCCATCCTTCTCGGCTTCCAACACTCCCCTACCGATACAGAACATATTCCTCTTCTCCAAGAACTCGCAAAAAAACATGTTACCCACCTAATGAAGCCTTCCATCCCGACAACATTCGACTTCACCGCCCTTCCACCCGAAATCCAGCTCCAGATCCTGTCTTATACTCCGCTGGTGACTCCCTACGAGCTAGTCTGCGGTCTCAACACGCCCGTCTCCACTTCCATCCAATCCCCCTTCTACGAACCGCGCACCTTCCCCTACCGGTCCTACCCTTCTGTGCCGGAATGCTGTCTTACCTGCTCCCCTTCCCCCTCCCCTGCCCAAAAACCTAACGGCTGCGCATGCTGGAGCAAGCACACAGCTTTCTCCTCAACGTGTACCTGTTGGCGCTTCCCACTCTCTCTCTTCCTCGTAAGTAAGAGCGTGAAAGAGATGGCCGAGTCGCTATTCTATGGCCGGAATCATTTCTGGGTCCTGCCGAGAGGGTGGAATGCAAGTCACAAGTTAGAGATTTGGAATTTTTTGACGCGCGTAGGGGGGGTGAGGAGGTATCTGAGGAATTTGACGTGGGAGATGAGTTGGAGTGTGAGGGAGGAGTGGGGTGGCTAGTGAGTTCATCCTAATCTGTAAAAGCTTTTTCGGGTTAGTGAAGTTAATATTGATTTACCTAGTCTACAGGAAGGAGATGAGACGTATGGACAATGGCTCGCAACACTGGAATTTCTTCGAGAAATGCCACCAGGACAGCTGACGTTGACGATCGACACCAAATTCTCGCAGTCGGAAATCTACTACGCCAATGGAGGCTGGGAGTACGGGGATAGCGGTGTGGTCGTGCCGGACGCCGCCTACACCTCCGAAGCCGAATATACCTTTTCCGTCTCCCAGGCGATCGCGAAAGACTTGATTAAACATGATGTGAAGCTGAAGGATCTCTTCTGGCATTTCACCTGGCCGAGAATAGGGGAATGGCAAGGAGAGGGCGAAATGGGGTTAGGGAACGCCCGAGATGGAGAGGGGAAGGCCAGGGATAAGGGGAGGGTGCTCGAGAAGATGGTTATGGGCCCGCTTTATGAAGGGGAAGAGAGAGGAAAATATGAGAGGAGGAAGGAGTGGAATGGGTATCGGGACCACCAACCGCCTTATTGAGCGCGGTCTAGGTTTCAAGATCTCTATGTGCATTGATTGCGTGACGAGATGCTGGGAGACAGGTTTTGTCACTCGCTTCTTGAGCTCTGCTCTCACCCCCTTTGCATTCGACTCATCAAGACTTAAATAGTCTATTGCAAGCATTTCTTTTCGTCTCAACTCAGCACCTCTTACTTTGCCGCATATTTTACTTTTAATTTTGGGGTTCTGTTGAGAATGAGGAACTCTCGGTCCTCGAGAGCCCCAAAGCGGGAGTTTGGGTTTGTCGAGACCCACGAATCGGACTTCTGCGTTGCCTCCTCTAACTCTTGCATAATGCGGGCCTTCAAAGGCGGGGCATGTGGGTCGCCAAGTGCCTGCTCAACGATCTTGTCCTTGAAGAAGGTGGTCACGTCTTTAGGAGCGTCTTCGAGACCGAGGATGTGAAGTCGGCATGGCGGTTGTGTAAATTTAGCGTGGATAACTTTGGATGCTATCGTTATCTTCTCATCGGAGACCTTACGAACCCAGTGTATCTCTTTGGGTTCATACCCTTTTCCATCCCACAGTTTTGAGCCATGCTTGGCATTGTGCTCGGTTGCAGAGTTCGAGGGCACGACGACCGAGGCCTTGCGACCGGTATTCGAAAATAGTTCCACGAGCTCTATGAGGTTCTTTAAGTTTCCAGTGCCCGGGGGCCCTTTGATCAAGGTGAGAGGATGATCAAGAGCGTACGAGACTGCCACGTCCTGAGATTCATTGTTTCCAGCAGTAACTTTGGCGACCAGAGCGTCAACCTCAGATATTTGATCTGCGCTCCTGTTTGCTCGTATTAACGTGGTCTGAGAGGGCGCAAAGTTGTTCCTGGCGAGCTAGGTTTGGAGGAGGAAACGTGGATAGCCTTCTGGGGGAAAAGACCCATAGAGGAGGCGAGCGGTGTACTCCTCCATTATCGTGGACGAGCCCTGGGTGTCAAACTCGAAATGGCATTTCCCAGCTCTCCCATCTGCCTTCCATCCTATCTAACTTCTATCCCATTTAAGTTTTATCCCATTTGACTTCCATCTCATTTGACTTCTATCCCATTTGACTTTCATCTCATCTAACTTCCATTCTATCTAACTTCTATCCCATCTCACGCTCACCGTTTTAACGCACAACGCACAACGCTTTATTGCACACCGCAATCGCGTTTCTTACTGCGATGTGCGTCAAAAGGCTGTTCCAGGAGGCTGCGATGGTTAGCCTAGCCACCCCTCCCGTTACTGCGTTTTCATTTCGTTTTTTGTGTGGTTGTAAGTCCAGCCCGAGAATCTGGGAGTCCTGTTCATTGCACATAATGGCTAGAATAGTTCCAGCCATCCCTTTTTGCTTCTATTTGGAAAGGATCTTGTCATTCAAAAAATTAGATCTGCTATGGCTCGATGTGGAACAGGGTAGAGAATTTGCTTTCCCATTATATCCTTCATGAGTTGATGAACTGCCAGACAGGAAGCTGGCATTCATGACAAAAAAGACAGAGGCAATATTCCTTTATTTTCTAGACTCTTAATTCAGGCAGCCGCAAACTGCGGCAAAGCTTGGAGGTGTTTGTTCACTTTAAAGAAAGCACAATTTATCTCTAGTTAGAAGCAAGTCAGTGACTTCTTTCTATAGGATTTCCAAGCGGAATCACACCTCCTGAGTCTGAAAGAGCGGTCTGAAACGCTTTTATTGACTTTGGTCATCCCCATTTTCTTTTTCAAGCGATCTTCATATCTCAGATATATAACCACCACCCAATCTCTCCTTTCATCGTCTCCGATAAACACCATGGATCTTCCAGAGAAATCCACCCCCTCTCCTGCAAAGGAGGATGCTCCGACTCGCTCTCCGGCTCAACACTCAACTCGAGCCGAAGCTTCAGAGCAAGTTGCACTTCCTCCCGGAACTCACTCCCCGGCTCGAATTCGAGAGCAGCAACACAGAGACGTTCCAACTGCGTACACAGTCTTCTATGGCCCTGACAACTACAGTGCTATTCGCGATATGCCAATGGAGCCTGACTCGCACACCAAGGGCTTAGCAGCGGTGGAAGAGGCGACCGCTCAGTCGGCGAATTCAGCCCATGCCGACTGGCGGCCCTTTTACCCTCCCGAGGAAGAAGCTATTCGCAATCAAATATCAACCCAAAGTACCACGTCTTCTCCAGCTTCAACTGTCGGTGCTCAGACGGAGTCAATCCACAGAGACATTCCTCCCGCGTCTTCCATCTCCCGGGCGGACGATCGTACTCACGACAGGTCTCAACCACCCTCATCCTTGGCAAAAATGAAGGAAGAGGCTCCATTGGCTAAGCGAAACTTCGATACACCTTTTCGATCCCGAGAAAAAGAAACCTGAGCAAATCTCGACAAGCGTTTGAATGTCATCTCGTCCCATCTAGATCCAACTCACATGTCTCAGATTACAGGAGCTACACGAGACTCTACACCCGAAGTCGAGAAGTTGAAATAAAGTGATGAAGAAGCAGCACAGCCCGACGGCGATACAACCAAGCTCAATCGCAATTCATGGGTCGAGTGAGCAGCATTGTGAAAAAGGGGGGGGGGGAGGAGGAGGAGGAGGAGGAGGAGGAGGAGGAGGAAGATGGGGCGTGAGAGGAAAGACTGAGGTAATGGGGAAAGAGCCTACAGAGCAACAGAGGGAGATTAAGTTGGTGAAGCTGGATATGACTGGGGACTTGAGGAACTTGTACGACTTTGCGGATGGGTGGGTTGAGAAGTTCGATTGGGGAGATGGTTCTCTTGACAAGAGGATCTTGAATTTGGAGGGTGCGGTTGAGAATGCGGGGGGGGTAGAGAAGCTGTCGAGCGATATTGGAAGGTAGAAAGAGATTCGGGAGAAGAGCAAGATGGTAGAAAGCGTGAAAAAACAGGAAAAGACTGAGAATGATATTAGCCTTGACTCGTTGAACATTAAGATGAGTTTTGGTTTGCCATTTGGGGCGCTCGAGGGCATGACTGAGTAGCTTTGGAAAATTGTGTTAAAAAGGAGTGCTGCACGTCTAGGCTTCTTCTCTCCAGCTGATTCGCCTGGCGTCGAGAGTGCCTCTTTCTTTAATCCCTACTGGGTTATGCTGGGGCACAGGGGTCTTACTCTGGGAGCAGATAGCGATTACATGTTTGGACCTGAGGGAAAAAACCCTTGTTGATCATGTGACAAAATCCACTGCGCCGGTATATTCATTGCCTTCGAGAGTAGACTTCCGGTGGAAGGATTCGTTTTGCAAGTCATTATATCAGGGCTGGTAATTTCTATTGCCCATAAGCAGCATATGTTGACCGAACCAGCTGCTTGATAGCAGCTGAAGAATTGACACCCCGATAATTACTCCACGTATGATCCAAAAGTCCTATCGTCTTGTTAGCATAGTAAACACAACCCAACATTCATACAAATCAACTTGCCATAACTCTCATCGGAATCCTGCGTCCCAGAACGGATATAATAACTCCCCGCCATAACCCAAACCATCCACCCCAACTGCTTCTGCACTATAAACTGCGTTAAACACTGGCTATACGCACTCTGCCATGCATTACTCGCATCCGTCTCATCATGACCCCACTCTGAGATGACCAACGGGGCCTTATTACCACCACTCTTTGTCGTAGCATCCGCGCCAAAACTCTCCAAAATTGCCTCGTAAATAGGACAAGAACTCGAAATGTTCTCATCGTACTCGTGCATCTCGAACACGAGTTTGTGCGCCCATTCGTAGCTAGATACATTAAAGGAAAATCCTGGATCAAGGAGTGTGGATCCTCCGACTGCGGGCTCGATGTTGAAGTCTGCCTCGAGGCCGGAGAAGTAGATTAGCACGTCTGGGTTTGCGGAGTAGATTGCTGAGGCGGCGGCCGTCATGTACGTTTTCCAGGTGGACCAGGTGTAGGGATGTAGATTTGGGGCCCCGGTGAGGGCCGGACGGAGCTCGTTGCGGAGGCCCATGCTGCTGAAGGTTTGCCAGTTTGCCTTGCCCTGGATGGTACATTAGTGAAGTGGATTAAAGGATGGAGGAGAGCTCACGTGAGCCGCCATGTAAGATAGTCCTCGAATCCATTTGTCTGTATCAAAGTACGTGTCGCCGAACCAAGAGTTCCCGTCTGTTAAGCTGCAGCACCACATTGCTTTTGAGACATGATTGTCGAGATGGACATAGATATCCTGGGTTGCCAGACCCGCAGCTACTGCATCAAACACCTGTCAAATAGTTAGCATACTTTCAAGAGGTTTTCAGGTGTATTGAAAGAAAAGGAATGAAACTTGCCTCTAACCTCGTCATTGTAGCAGTAAACTGAGGATTATTACTTATAATTTTCGACAACATCGCCGACCCATTCGCCGATCCCAAAGCCCGTGTCAAAGTGCCGCTCAGGGTAACGTCTCCGCCGTTATCCAAAATGTCGTCAACCATCTCAATGGCGAAAGTAAGACGCACAGTGTTGAAACCAGTTTCCGTGAGTTTCTGTACAATGTTGGCTATGGATTGGTAGCCAAGTCCTTCCGGAAGCATAGTTTCTGCCGCTCCAGGCCAGTTGATGCCAACAACAGGAACATTTTTGCCATTCGCATCAACAATCCATCGATCGCTGTTGGAAAATGGCAGTGGTTGAAACGACTGAGTTGTGGCAATCCCAGCAGCGGATGCTAGCCGTGGGCATTTTATTGAAACCGTACAGAGAAGCCCCGTGAGAGCTTTGGAGGGCGACGACCCCATCGTTAACCACTATCGTTGATCCAAGAATAATTGAAGAGTCGATATAGATCGGCGTCACCTCCGTATATCCTGTTCTTTACCATGTTCCTGCTCCGGACTCTTCCCATTCGTTTGACTGGTTTGGCCGGAGATCACATTCCTATTGTGGCGAATGACGGAACATGGCAGTTCAATACCAGGATTTGGGTTGGTTGGACCTGAGAGAGCGCCGGAGCCGGTGATAATTCACGCGGGGTAGGCTTGTCTTAACCTGGATTTTCAGCAGGGGGCGGAGATGGCCAGGCACTAGCCGCAGGTATTAACGACAGTGCTACCCCTAAACACCTACCATAATTAGGAACAACGAACCCTACTGTAAAGTCAAATTACCTGTTCTCTACGGAGTACGTAAAGAGAGCGGACGCATCGATTGCCCCCCTGTACGTGCAGCTATATATTTCGGAGACGGGTGTTGCTACAGTGAAAGCATGTGCACACCCTGTCGCTTAAACTTTGTAAAAGCCGTTATGGCAACAGCACAGTGACATATTATCGCCTTTACAAGGGACAAGCTGATGTATCCACCCTCTATACAAATGGGAGCTAGAATAATTGCAACATGCTTGTCTCAACTTTTTGCTCGCGGTTTTGCACAAGACAAAAAAGCCGAGCGCCGAGGCAGTTCAGTGTTATCACGTGACGAACAACCCTCTTGCGATGGATCGCCGGAAAGAGCCTAACAACCTCAACGGCCGCAATTGGAAAGTAGAGTACTCGGGATCGTTTTATGCTTAATTCTTGCAAGAAAATGTGACGTTGTTGGATGAGCTTGGAAATTACTCCTGACTCGCTTAGCGAAGGGGAGAGAAAGCAGATAGGGGTTAAAACCATAAGCGAACGCGGATGCGAGTCCGATCACAGATCAGAATACAATAGCATCAAGACCGGCTTTATAAAATAGGAATGTGGTGGGAAAATCGTTCTCCACTTAGCTATTCCTTACATGGAATAATTGTATATTTCTGCCTGCTATGGTCGGGGGAAAAAGCAAGCCACGACATTATTCCAAATCCCGGCAGGGGATTCGGACTCGCGAAATCCTGAACCCTATTATTAAACAAGTATACACGCCGAGCATTTTCCTCGGAATATACTAACTTATCTTGAGCTCTATCCTCGTTTTTCAATCACTTTCCCATTGGTCTCCCGTCTCATCAGCTTTCGAACGCTGCTCATTGACGAAACCCGACCACGGGACAAGTTATTAAGCTTCAATCTAGAACAGTCACTTCCTAGTTTTCCAGTTATCAAAGAATGATTTCCATCAAAGCTGTGAAGGATTGCAATGCCGCACACATCAAATCTCAACTACTGGTATCCGTCATCACCGGCGGGGCCTCTGGGATCGGAGAACACTCCATCCGGACCCTCGCTGACATCCACGACAAAGAAGGAAAAGGTCTTCGAATATATCTCGTAGGCAGGGAGGGAGTCGCAGCCAAGCACACTATCTCAGACTGTCTGGAATTATGTCCGAAAGGAGCCTTCCGATTTGTGCAGGCAGGCGATCTTGCTTTCTTGAAAGACGTTGATTATGTGTGTGCGGATATCACGACGGCAGATGAGATAGCAAGTTCACCTGGAGAGAGGCCAGGAATCTACTTCCTAGTGATGGGACATGGATATCTTGCTTTTGAAGCTCGACAAGGTAAGATTTGATTGCTCCTTTCTGTCATTTTTTATCGTATCACATGACTCTGACGCAACACCCAGAGACAAGAGAAGGCCTCGATGCCTTCTACTCTCTTTTGTACTAATCATGAATGCGCTTTGCCGTAAAAATACTCTCTCTACTCCTCAACTCTCCTCTCCACTGCTACATTGTCTCCGTCTTCTCACACAAACGAAACGACAAGTTCTTCCTTTGGGACTCCTCCTGTCGCAGTCCAACTTTATGAACACTGACTCACATGTTGCATAGCTCACTACCTTCTTCTTTGAATCCCTCGCCAAAAGATATCCCGGCAAGTTGTCATTGAGTCATCACTACCCGTGATTCATGATCATTTCGGTAAGGACGAGAAACTACTCCACCGGGTTGGTTCAAGGCGGCCTTTAGGGCGGCAGGACTGTTGATGAAGTGGTGGAACGTGAGTCCGAGGGAGTGTGGGGAGAGCGTTATCTTTTTGGCGGCGTCGAGATCCCCCGCCCGTGAAACGGGGCCAGAGGGGAGAGATGAAGTAGAAGATCTGAAAACACACGATAGAAACATTCGAAGAGATTGAGGCTGGCACGGTATTTACTGGTTGACTTTTTGTTATGATGTGATGTGTGCTTCTCTAATGGACATGAGTTTGGTTAGAATGAGTGGCAGCTTGGGTTGAGCACACGAGAGAGAACAAGAGGATCCTAGTAATAATGTATTTTCCCGCTAGCTGCTTCCTTAATCCCTACCCTATTTTGAACTCCGAAAACAGCTTCCCGAGAAACCTTTGTGTGTACATCCCATCTTGTCTGATGATCAAGCTTCCGTTCCGTGGTGCCGCGAGATCCTAAACAATCGTTCGACTGCGAGACTCTTCGGCTGTTGCCTCCATTGCTCACCGTGTGTTTCGTGTACATGTCTTCTGCCACTGGCCTTCTTGGCTTGCCGTAATAATCATTTTCTTCACGTCGGCCTCGCCTCTTCAGCGCTCCTGCCGTTCCCAATGCTGCAACCTAACATGCACCCTCTCAACCCTCTCCCCCTCTTTCCCCATGTTTGCAACTTTATATCCTGTCGTGTCCGTGATCCCATTATCCACCAACGATAGACTGTTCTCATCCGTGAAATACACCAACTCTTCTTCACTCTTCAATGGCGCTTGTCCTCTCCCCTTCCGTATTCCAGATGAGCCCCCGCTTTTCGGTGCCGAGATGCTGGAGGATAGGTATGGCTGTGGATAAGGGTCGCTGCCTGAAATTACAAAGTTGAGAGAGGGGAATTGTCGTGATAGGAGGGCTCGGAGAGGTGGAAGGCAGATGCAAATTACGCCGACGTTGATTTCGATTAGGGACCAGAAGCCGGATTTTACGTCGTCTACAGGCAATTGTTAGCATTTTTAAATCAGAGCTGAACCCCGAGAGACGCAAACAGGTAATATCTGGATTATCTGCGCCTTTGAGCATGAATGTTCGCATAATGCTTGTGAACGTGACGCTTAACCAATGTTAGTAACTTATCCTATGACAGGGAATAATTTATAGGCAAGATTACTTACAACATTCCAACTCCAAATACTGCATACAGTAATATCTTCTCTTTCTTCGCTCTATGTAAATTGTAGACCATATGCATCGGCAGAAACAGGATGACAAAGTCCGTAACGACGGAGAAGCCAGCATTCGCATACCATGCTCTCGTCAGGCTGTAGCAATGTCCGTTCTCCGACTTGATCCAAGCTTTTTCGACCGGTATACATTGGAAGATACTAGCAACGGTGGTAGCAAATGCAAACAGACCAACGAGAGCCAAGAGCGTCCAGCAGGTAATGCGGGATATTCTTTGGGGCATAATTCGTAGGTAGAGGAGCAGCATGGAGGTTTTGTTGAGGCCAACGGTGATTTTATACGTGATTTGAAAGGTCCAGTGAAGCTTTTTATTTCAGCTTTGAGTAGATCTTGTGAGCATGAGGGGCAATAGTAGATTCATCTTACAATAAGAACTAATCGAAGGTCCTTCGCGTCAAGGTTAACTTTGTGACGTCCCCATCCATGCGCCGTTGCTAAACCGAAGTAAGATGCAATATATTTACGTTCAAGTAATTCCAGAAACATACCGACGAGCGTCTGGATACTGCAAGAAAGTGCAAAGATCTGCAAGCTCCATTCATTAGTAACTCAGACTGTGGATTGATTGTGAAGGGTTTCGTACACCAGCCGCAAGCGCTGCCCAGTCGTCTGACCCAACTTGTTTGGACAATAATCGACTCCAGAACCGAGTGAAGAGAAACGTTGGTATAAGAACAACAAAGACAAGGCAGGCTACACGCTCGTAGTTGCCATGATTGAGGTCCGAAATGCCTGCTGCCATCTCATCTTCACATAACAGAAATCAAAATTTGATCAGAAGTGGAAGTCCTACTCGGAGCATAGTGGAGTTCTGAGCTGAGCGGGGAAGACCCAACATATGTGCTCCACGATAAGCCGTTGAGTATCTTGAAAGCACATGTCGGTGCAGTCCCGAGAGCTGAAACCAGCCATCTCAACCGAACCTGCAGTTCCGAGGGGTTTTCAGCTTCGGTGTCAATGTAACGCCGCACCGTAGATTGCCTCAATATTGCCACCTGGAACGGGCCTCCGGATCGTCTCGACAAAGCTCGGACGCCTTGAATTTCTTAATATGTCATAATTCAGGGGGTTTGAAGATGCACGCCAGAGATGCGGGAATTTGGCACGGGAGGGACAGGGGAAAGGAATTCATCCAACCGATCACCCAATTAAAACGGCTTGTTGAGTGAGGCGTAACTAGTAAAATTGCGAGATATACGATGTTCTATCCCGTTCTTCTCCAAATATTCTGCCTAATTTGATTCAACTGGGGGCGGGAGCGAGGTGGGCCCAGGAGCTCCCAAGATCTGGAGGCGTGCCAAGTCGTCAAGGTCTGGGCCTTCAAAAATCCGGGGTTGAAACTTGGGCCACTGTGCGAACTCTGCTCAAATGATGTGGGGGAAGCGGAAAGATACACGCTTTCTTGATCGTTCCCTCTTTCTTACAAGCCATCAATCTAACATACCGGAACATACTTTCAACTGCCGTAATTATCAGCTGATCGTTGACAGGTTAGTAGCTATTTGTAGGGAGTTGGTGGTGGGTTACCCCTGAGGAGAATATCCGGGGATGGGAATGCTGGCATCCATTGTGGCGTTCGACCCATCATTTCGCAAATCACCAGGGAATGATACCCTTGGGTCGAGACTCAAACCTTATTGATCACGAATTTATTTGAGTTCGTGAGAAAATGGGCCGGATAGAGTTCAATTATGAGGCAGTCCCGGCAAGTTTGGGAGAGAAGGAAGTATCTCCGCACTTTCCAAAGGGACAATCATCAATTTTCAAGCCCGCTCGAAGACTAATAATTTTGAGGGAAGCTCCCGAGAACTCGCCCTTCGCACGGAACCCCAATTTACCCCACCAATCCTCACTGCATGAACCATTCGAACCAGCGTCCCGCCCACCTGGTGGGCTTTGTCTTTCTTGTCAATGTTCAATATGATGCTCGAGCGGTCTCGTCTCCAGATTAGAGTGTCAACGGTAGAAGCATCCCTCGATATACTTTTGTGGGTTAAATAAATATGCCTCCAACCCACCACGATTCCCACAACACCCCTACAACCCACATGCTCAACGGCACAATCCGGCAAAGGGCATGGCCTGTCGCTAGATCTAACTTTTTCTCGCGACCATTCAGAAAGCCTTGTTGAGCCCGATACATTTCAATCGCTGGACGGACTACGAAGGACTTATTTGAATAATGTTCAAGTCCAGAGACGGGAATTTCCACATGGCCCGAATCCGCCCGATTATTGCCTTATCACAATTTGCTTTTTCAGTCCTATTCCAGCCCTGTTTATACGCTTCAACGGCTCTAAAAATAGCGTGACACCCATGTCGAAGTCATCAGTTTAGCCAGCCCAACAACGCTGCGTGGAATGTGTCTGGAGCTTGAATCTGCGGAGCGTGGCCCAGACCCGGGAACTCCACCAGGGTGCAGTTAGGAACGATTGCAGAAACCTGCTTCCCCAGAATGTCGTAGTGACCTAACAATGGCTTGACGCTTGCAGGTGCCCAAGCCTTTCCAATGGCTGTGTTGTCGAGATCCCCGACCAGAAGAAGCGATGGCATCTTCAGATTGGGCAGCTCTTGGATCACCGGTTGGGTGAAGATCATGTCAGTCGTCGAAGCCATGTTATACGCGAAATGAGTGCCTAGTGGTCCTTTATAGATACTGAGAAGCATGTTTACCCAAACGTCGTACGAAGCATTCCAAGTTCCACCATAATAGGTTGCCTGTTGGTACGATTGGATGCTGGTATAACTTGTGTTCAGCTCCGTCAAATATGAGACGTCAATTGCTTGATAGGGAACACCTGCAAACCAGTTATAAACCGCTATCTACTTGTGTCGGTATTGAGGAGGGCTCCGTACCTAAAGCAAACCAGTTTTCTAATCCAAGTGGATCGACCATGACGAGGCGATATGTCTGGGAGGGGAACATGAGAGCGTATCTTGCAGATAACATCCCACCCATCGAATGGCCCATGATGGTTGCATTTGTGACGTTCAAGGAGTGGAGAAGATTGTTGGTGTTGAGAGCGAGTTGTTCGAGCGTAAATTGGTAACTGGTGGGTTTCGTCGATTTGCAGAATCCCACTTGATCTGGAACAATAACCCGATAGCCAGCAGCGAGGAGGACGTCTATCGTGGCGTTCCAGGTGCAGCCACAGAAGTTTTTCCCGTGGAGGAGAACGATGTTTCCGATTGATTTTCCGATTGGGGAAATATCCATGTATGCCATTTCCAAGGTTTTCAGCTGCGAGGTAAACTGATAATTGTGCACGGGAAATGGGTACACAAAGTCCAACCCGTTTTCTGAATCCGTCCGCTTTTCAGCGCCCATAACCCCAACATCGCCCTGTGCGGCTGCAAAAGCCACCAAGCCAATTGCGACGAGCAGGTTCGGGAAAACCTTCATGCTTAAAGTCCGAGACAAGCAGATTTGCCTTGTGGATTGGAGGCGTTCGACTTGTTCTAAAAAAACCGTTTTGTTGTCAGTTGAAGCCGCTTGGTGGGCCACCCCGCCTGGAAGGTATCTCACGTACAGGCTATAGTAAGGCTGGAGCTGACTTCAACTGTTGGGAAGTAAGACAAGAAGGATGGGAAACGGGAATGTAGAGGCGATGGTTTTAATATCGAGATGCAAGGATATCTACAATCAACACGCAGATTGGTGCAACAATCGTAGTGACCATGGCCTTGGAAACGGAGATGATTCTCTTTTTGCGCGAACTTTTAGACCAGGGGTCAGGATTCTCTTGTGAAGTGAAGTTCTCACTACGGAATTATCAGTTAATTCAATTGGCCCATACAAACTGCTTGATCCTTCCACTCATTGATATCCAGACATATGCTTGAGAGTCGAGTTTCTGAGTGAGTTGTTTGATTCTCATCAAATTGCATTCAGTGCGAAGGAATAGGGCCTGGAAATACCCCGAGAATCCATGCCTGGAAAAATTTGGACCTCCATGGTATGCTGCATAAAATCCCGCAAGTAGCCTATCTGATTTCCCGGGTAGCATCACGGACGCCCCGCACGGAGAGGCATTCTTGCTAGGTTAGACCCTTGCTACATAAATACAATTTATTGAATGCTGACGAGTCTAAGCCCGAAGTGAACAGTGTTTCCGCGCACCTCCCTGAATAGAGCTAGAACCACCTCTCGATCAAAATACAGGTCTAAATTATCTTTAAAACATAGTACAAGAACGTATGAGAGCTGGGTATTTCCCCCTCGGGAGATGTTAAAAGCATAAAAGCTGGAAATAGTTTTCGTGGAATTGTGCCCGAAAAATCTACAAGTCGTTGAAACTATTCAAAGTGTAATAACTACAAGCTCTTCTTGTACACCTAGGGAAATATCCAGTACGTACCAAGTTTTCCTTGGACATTCAAGGATACACTTCTCAGAAAGTACAAAGCCCGATTTGTATATTCAGTCAGGGATGCATTTCTCGAAAATAGCAAATCCTCTTGTATATTTGAGACAAGTGGATATACTTGACCTTTGTATGTCGCGTCTCCGGACAGTCGGACTATCCGCGATTGTGGCGATAACCTAGGGTAGTGAAGGCAGAATAGCCACCCCGCACCACATTAATTATAGGCTCTCTTAGTAATGTCCATAAGCTTATAAGCTCTAAAAGCCTTATAAGTGAGTTTTCATAGCGCACGTGAGCATATAGCAAAGGAGAGCTTATAATTATAGCATACGAGGGCATATAAGCCTATCCGTTGCGCTGCGGCCAGGTGCGGACCTCGCTAACAGATTTTCTCCCAGTTCTGAACTGAGATAAAGTTCTATATAATAATAAGAAGTTTAATTTCTCGTATAGACTGTTAATTGTCCCTCTACACTACAAGAATACCATATTTGTTAGAACTGCTATAAAGGTTTGGTACAGCAATTGGAATTGGAAGCGTGTGAGTTTTGGTGTTCCTTAAGTTTAGCGAGGTCCGCACCTGGCCGCAGCGCAACGGATAAGGCCCGTGCAAGCCCGTGAGAGAGGCTTGTGAAGCCTGCAAGTAACGCCTGTGAAGCCTGAAACGGAGGTTTGAGAAGCCGGTGAAGCCTGTGAGCTTGCAAGTGAGGCCTGCGAAGCCTGTAAGGCCTATCCGTTGCGCTGCGTTTGCTGACCAACTTTTCCGTTTCTTTTAAACCTAAATAATTTACTACGATATAATCTAATATTTATAACCTTAAGGATTATAAGAAACTACTTTTTAGATAATAAGAATTCTAAGTTTATATTAATTTATATAAAGGTTTAGCTATATATAATAATAGAATAATAACCTTAGACTTTTAATATTTCTTCGGTTTTAGTGAGACGCAGGCGCCATATCAGCGTGATATTTAAGCGAGCGAGGCGTGTGAGAGAGGCCAGTGAAGCCTGTAAAGCCTGTGAAGTAAGAAGCTTATAAGGCTCGTAAGCGATATAAGTATAAGCTTTAGTCTACCTAATAAAATCTTATAGTGGGTAAGGTAAAGAGAGAGAGAGAGTAAAAGAGGTAATGCGCGGTGTAGCCGGCAGAATCGTGCTTATCGCCGCTATCGCGGACAGTCCGACGGTCAATTCGACTGTCCGGCGACATTTCAGGTGTGTAGACTGGCTCTGCTGAACGCTGAGATTGAGAGGAGGAGGAAGGAATGGGAGCTTTGGAAGCAGATTCGCAAGGCCGAGGAAGCTGCAAAGGCAAAGGAGGCTCAACGGAAAACCCCACCTGATCACCGAAATCTGGCTATGGCTGCATTCTCCAACGCGTCATAGGGACGCTGGAGCTGGATGGTTGTAGGAGCGAACAAATCAGAGTGCTGACAGCTGTAGCACAACAATGCACCATGCAGTCAGACGCAAGGTCACAAGCGCGTGAGCTGGTAGCAAGAAGGTTATTGGTGAACTCGTATGATGGTCTAGGCATGATTAGGAGTGAACTCGGTGTTTCGCAACGTGCTTGGTCACCAAGTCAAAGTGTTGAGTGATCAAACAGCGAGTCCGCGTACAACCAGGCATATATATCGTCCCCTCATCCCGCAACTTCAACATGTCTAACTTCAAAATTTCCGCAACTATTTGAAGATGTCTTCTCTCGATGCTGCTTCCTTGTTTGGGGTGAAAGGATTGGTGGCTGTGATTACTGGCGGGGGAACCGGCATCGGCCTAATGATGGCGAAAGCCCTCGAGCACAACGGCGCAAAAGTCTATATTATCGGACGTCGACTTGAAACGCTCCAAACAGCTGCAAAAGAAGCAGTTCGTTCCTCCCGCCTCCCCAATCCCTCACTTACTCATCGATGGTCAGAAATACGGCAACATCATCCCTCTTCAAGGGGACGTAACCTCGAAAGAGGACCTGTCACGAGCCGTCGAAACGATTACCAAAAACGAAGGCTTCATCAACGTGCTAATCGCCAACTCCGGCATCGCAGGACCAACCCTCTTGGCCATGCCGCCAAACCCGTCTCTCTCCCAGTATCGCGAGTACCTCTGGAACACCTCAATTACCGAGTTCACTCAAACAATGGAAGTCAACACCTCTGCCGTGTATCTCTGCATCATCGCATTCCTCGAACTATTAGCCGAGGGAAATAAGAGGAAGAATGTAGAGCAGTTGAGCCAGGTGATTGCGGTTTCGAGTATTGGTGCCTATAATCGCGTTCCGTTGGCCGGATTTGCGTATTCGGCGTCCAAGGCGGGCACCACGCACATGATGAAGCAGCTCGCTACGGCGTTTGTGCCATTCGATATAAGGAGTAATGTTATTGCGCCTGGAAGTACGTCCCCTTACCCCCTCCCCAAGAATCGTGGTTCCTGGGCGATAGGTTGATGAAGAACGTAGTTTACCCTTCCGAGCTAGTGACACTGCCCCTTCTGGAGCGTTTTTTGAAGCAAGGGGGGGACGAGGCCCTCAAATCCGTGATCCCACTGCAGAGGCCGGGGATGACGGAGGATATGGCGGGTACGGTGCTCTATTTGACCAGTAGGGCGGGAGCGTACTTGAATGGGATTGTGCTTGTTACTGATGGTGGACGGTTGGGTGTTCTGCCTTCCAGCTATTGATAATCTGTGGGTTCGATGAGCATGAGCGGGATAGAGGAAAAATTGGGTGATGGTGAAATGGGAGTCTCAAATGTTCAGGGAGAGGAACGGTAGATTGTGTCCGTATTGTTGGCTTAGCAAGTTAGTTCGGATTTAAGAGCTCGAGCCCTCAGAGGGCAGGATGGCACATTCGGAGTTCCTGTGACCAAGATTCCATTTTAAATATCTGGGTCTAGCTTCTAAGTTTCATTAGTACTACCGTAGTAGATTACTCACCAATTTTTCGAATTGACCAATCCATCGCTGTAGTCGCTACTTTCGGGGCAAATTAGAGCCTGTTCTTAAACGCAAAAAATCTAAAACCTTAGAATCTAAACATGATAATTCTAAGGAGTACAAATTTATAAAGGCAGAAAAAGCTTTTCGAATATAATAAACATAATTCGAAAAACTTAGAAATTAATGAAGTTATTTCAGGAGAAATAGATTGTTAACGAAATCAATTATCGGTGAGTAATCCAGGATAGTACTCGTGGGAAGCGTCTAGACGATGAAAGAAGCTTTGAACCCACCTACATCCCAATAAGAAGTTATCAGCGGCGGTATTAAGTTATCTTCCATTCCTGTTCCTAATCCAATTACCGATTCCCAGATGCCGAATCCTAAATTCCATCTCAATCATCATCTCAATCGACCCTATCCTCCCAAACTTAATAAAAACACGACCTCAGAAGGAAAACCTCATCCATCAAGTGATTAATCGTCCTCTCGAGTTTAAGTTTAGTCCTTATCCTTCCCCCCAATATGCAACTTCGCCTTAATTTTCTCGCTCAACTTAGGTTTAGAAGCCTTCTCGTCCTTGCCACCAACCTTTTCCTCACTAACAGGAGGTCCCGCGGCAGCAGACTCATGGGTGGTTCCCTCCTCCTCGAGCAGTCCTGTTTTTATTAGCCCTCATCCCCATCACCTCTCCTCACACTCTGAAGTTAGTAAGGGATAAACTCACGATCAGCCTCCTTCCCTGCCCCGGGATTCGCAGCATCGAAGTCCCCCCCATCAGCCACCGTCCCACTAGACTTAACGTACTTCTCGCCCGTCCCCTCGCCATGACTTTTCTTCTGCGGTCCATCCTCTTCTTCCCCCTCACCTTCGCCACTCTTTCCCTTTCCCTCTCCCTCTCCCTTACCAACCACACCTCCACTCTCCCTCGCCTTCTCCTCAAGAGTCTTCGGGCCCGGTCCAGTTATATCCACCTTCGCCGCGTCCTCTGCCTCCGCTTTCGTCTCCTTGATCCTCTCGTGTTCAGGAGAAGATGGTTCGTCGGATGGCCGGTCAGCACCTTGTTGTTTTTGCGTGGGTTGTTGGGCCGAAGAGGGGTCTGCTGCGTTTGGGGCTGCGGAGCTGGGTTTGGAGTCACCGATGCTATCCGTCGTTGAGCTTGTCGTGTCCGTTACTTTGGGGTTTTGTGTCAGGGTGGAAGTGATGGGTTCATCTGCGGTAGTCTTGGGCTCGGAGGGTGTGGAGGTTGGTTCTGCGAGGGTTAGAGACTTGGAGAGGAGGAGAGGCAAGGAGATATACCAGAGTTTCCTTTATCATAAGGCTCGCCTGCCTCAACGTTGCCTGTCTCCCCGCTGACTGGCTCCTGGCCCTTGCTCTCACTGTCCTTCGTCTGGGCTCCATTAGTGCCGTTCCCCTCTCCCCAGATGGCGCGCGATGCCACCGATGCGAGGTTATTTACTGTCTCCATTGTGATGAAGTGAAGTGAAGTAAAGTATCTCAAGTTGCTCAAAGTAACGCAGAGGTTGAGATTGTATGTCTGGCGGATTAGAGAGAGGTTAAAGGGTATCTTAAGCTTTGTACAAGTGCAGTTATGGCGGAAGTGGAGCGGGATGGGCTGGTTGTTCTTGGAAACTTAATTTTTATGGGGACGGTAAGAGGGAAGGATTTGATAAAACGAGTTTCTCAGGCAAGATTCTGACGTCTTCAACGGCCGCGTTATTGGTTCCCGTTTGGAGCCTTGGTCTTGGCTCTGTTCCACGAGCCAGTCACTTTCAAGGCTGGACGTCGGATCAGGACCTGCTTTCACTTTGCTTGATTTGCCCAAGCCTCATTGTAGCTTGTGTTGATTGTGAAACTTCACCTCTTACCCCGCGGTTTTCCCCATCTCTGGAGCTCTGCGTTTTGGGAAATTCTTCATCATTATTTTGACTGCTACAAAGAAAAACACTCACACATTAATGGAATAATTGTGGATGTTGTTCTATTTCATATATCTTAATTATGCTTCATTGCTTGACGATGAAAGTCAAGCCGTACATTTCAAGTATGACGTCTGAACCCCTGAACCCCTGTCGCCCGACGTCATTCCCCGCGAATTGTGGCTTGGAAACCCCTGTTTCTTGACCAGAATCTCCCCGCCTTCGGGCCACGTGATCCCGCGCCGCCTTTGCTCAAGGCGGCTCAGGCATGGCTTAGCTTCGGCTCAAGCCTGCTCGGGTCTATTTACCTATCTCACCTCTACTACACCTGGTCTGGCTCCTATCTACGCCTATACGTATATATATATCCATATTAAGAAGTGCCTTGTTTGTATCCTTTCCTTGTGTGTGGCTCATTAGCAGCCGCTGCTGCTGTCCAACCCGTGTCCTCATACCTTCAGTCTCCCCAACGCATATCAATCCCCTCCGGGCTTCCTGGAGTCCCAGCTCCTTCTCCACAAAGAGGCGACAGGGACCATTTGTCTGATCTATATATTGCTGCACCGAGTGTAGCGTGCAGTTTGTCTGGGTCGTTAATTAGCGAGAAAGACGATACTGTTCTGTTCGAGGATTTGTCGTTGTGGAATCTTGCAAACGAAGTCGGAGGGCGATGGGTCGACCCAAAGCCCATCTGGGCTGTATATGTGTGTAACTGAGGAGGCATTAATATTTGGGCTCGATCGTTACACTTCGTAGGGCAATACTACGCCGCTATACTGCCGCTGCCGTGATCGAACGCGTCGTGTGGTGTAGCCTGCTCTTGTACAGTAGTGTGTCCTCTTCTGGCTGTGGTCACAATGCCATCTCTACGGCATTAACGCGACACTAGGAGAAGAGTATCAATCCGTAGAGGCAATGCGACCACAGGCCAGATTGTTTTGAGGCTGTCCTGCTTGGTAACTTTCAAAAAGTTCTTTCTCGCGTTTTTGTGATGTTTTGCGTGGTGGGGGCTAGGGGAGCAGGCAGAAGTCTGCCTTGATAGAAAGCCTTATCGGTGAGCAAGGCTTACTGGTGCCAACACCTCATTGTCTCACCCAGCCCTGCAAATCAAGACTCCACAAAAGGCAACATTGATAATTCCAAGTTCCATGAGATTTTGAATATTGAACAACGATTAAAATTTTTGAAGTTTTGCAATCCCTTTTCCTTTGCTTGCTTACTGAGGCCCACAGCTAGCTAGCGGACAAATCCGAGAAGCGAAAAGTGATTTTCTGATTTTCTGATTTTCGCACTGGCGCCCCGCACACCCCCCCCCCCCTCCTCCCCAAGGCAGAATTCCTAATTAGGGGTATAGCACCCATACGTGACTTTCGGCTTGGATAACGCAATAATAGTAAGGCTGCTTGCTTGTCTAATTAACGAAGTAAGAGCCCATACTACCGCGTAAAATCGTACCAAAATTGGACCGGATAGTATAATATAAAATTAAGTATTTATTACAAATTACTATAGTCAGGTAACCACAGGCTATAAGCCCTTCTAGGATAATGCTATTAACAGGGTCTAATAACTTCCTTAACGTTCCCGAGGTTAGAAATAAGAAAATTAAACTATTAAAATAACTGAAAAGCCGGCTAATTACTTTTTTTTAGTAATTAATTAATAAAATCATATAGAGATAATATTATTCGAGTTTTTTAGTACTTATATTACTAGAAAGTATATTATAATAGTAAAGCATACCCTGAATTTAATTCCTATTAAAATAACTTAATGGATTTTATTAAAATAATACTACGACTTTTAATAAATCTATTACTATATTATAAAGCTATTACTAAATAGGCTTATACGAATATTAATTAAGAAGAAATTACAAATAGATTAAAAGATTTATATAGAATCTCAGTTAATTCGTATATGGTCCAATAGTAACTACAAGAATAGAATATCTAAATATATACTCAAATAGCAGATATACCTTTCCTTTATATACAGATTATAATCCTATATTATCTAGGAGATATAGATAAGGAAATACTTAAGGATCTTGAGGATTACGGTTATATAGCTTTAATTACTAAAGTCATTTATATATATAAGAAGCTTAGTCTTATTTGCTATATAACTATAATAGACAGGCAAGCGGCGGATAAGTAACTATTTATAATACTATAAAGTAAGCTAAATAATAGGCGGGTTACAGGTTATGAATAGTAGTATTTATATATATACTTCCGTTAATAAGGTTTACTAGTAACCCGGTTAGTCTTTTTATACTTTACTATTTCGCCCTAGCTTGGAAAGTTAGGGCCTTATTTACTAATGTATTTTGTTATCTATAGGGAGAGCTTATATATAATATTATAACTCCTGGATCCCGAGGCAATTATACTATAAATATAATAGATATAGTTTAAGAAGGGAGAATATATTATACCTGGGCCGGACTAGATTTAGTTAATTAATAAATATAATAAGCTATTACTATTTAGGATCGAGATATATATTTATATTAATACTTATTTATATAATATTATCTAGATATATATCGGAATCTCTAATTAGATTACCTATTCGGTTATATAGTAATATCTTCAGATTTATACTTAAATAGGCTACTGCCCTTACTTCTTTAGGGCTAATTAAGGCTCTAAATTCCCCCTTATTACCAAAGCACACTTTATATTCTTATAGATAGCTAATTCGTTAGTTATATATATAGAGAACTACTTTATTTCTGGAAAAAGCACCGAGAATTAGCAGATTAAATCCTGGTAATAAGAGCTTTAGAAGAGCTAGCTATACTAGTAGTATATAAGTAATTCCGTTTCCCTATATCTGTCTCTTATTCTTTCTATTATTAGAAGAAAGTATTAGATACTAATAATTATACTGCTTTTTATTAAGGCTATTAGGTCCAGTATTATAGTACCGGATTATATAACTAATTCCGATTAGTATATATAGAACTACTTTTAGGAACTGGCCTATACCGGGAATTATAATTACTAATATCTATAGGACCGGATTATTCTACTAGTACTTTATATATAGTAGATCCAAAACGAGATATATAGGTTTGCGGACTTATAGAATATCTATAGAATTAGAAAAGATAGATCTAGGCCTAATATAGTAGCCAGTAAGCTATTCAGACTATATATAAGGCCCCCAGGCGGGATATAGTACTGGGATTACCCTATAGATATAAAGCTTTATAATATAATCCTTAATAATTACTTAGTTTAGGGTAAGTAATATAATCTTATATAGCTCTATATGGACAGTTTACTTATATACTAATATAGATATTAACAAGTTTCTGCCAAGAGAAATACTAGAATAGTATTATTAGAAGCTTATATCTTATAATATAAATATAACTAATATTTATATAGGAGATACTAATAGAAACGGTAACTAACTATATATTTAAGCTTATTACTAGCTCCGATATATAGTCCGGATATATATAGCCTCAGGGCAGCTACTAATATTAGGAAAGTCCAAGAAGCCGACTAGTAGATATAATACTACTATTATATAAAATAGGATCCTTAAGCAAATTATCCTAATAAATACAGAATATATAAATAATATATAGGCCAGAAAGATACCTATATAGTTCCTAATAGTTTAGGACTTTATCTAGAAATGGCCCTTTATTAGTAATATTTCTAATAATATAAGGTAGTTAAACGAGCCGGTTATAAAGTAACTAGGTATATTAAGATAAATATTATTTATTATTAAATATATTATTTTCGAAATCCCCTTCTTACTTTTAAGAGTAATACTAATAGAATTATTAAGTTTATCTACTATATAAATATTCTATATCCTCAAATTCTTATCTCTTAAAATAGTACTACCGTTTCTCAAAACCTGTCCTAATACTATATACCCTATAGCCGAATACTAGTATAGTAATATCTAATATTACAAGTTCTATTAATCTACTAATAACGAATATAATATAGAGGCTGCCGCTTTACTTGCCCAGAATAGTAATACTAATAAACTTGAACCTTATAGCTCTGGAATTCTGTCCGTATCTACCTCTCTTTTTATATCTGAAATACTTCAGATCCCTAGCTCTTTTTAGTATCCTTATCCTATATCTTTTCTTCCAGGAATATCTATTATATCTATTTCTCTAGTTACTATTACTATATAACCGCCAGATACTAGTTCTATTCTATTCCAGACTCCTCCTGCTCTAATAGCCCTATAATTACTCTCTTCTATATTCCCTTTTATTATAAGCTATATTACTCGACCTAATTACTTTTCTAGTAGTACTTATATTACTATATAAGCTTAACGGGCTATAAATATAAGAGTTACTTAGGCCGCTACCCAGGCTATAGCTTCTTATACTAGTAATAGGCTACCTGGAGCCCTTTAAGATCTTATAAATCAAAATATAGCCGGATCTAGTCTTATAGAATTACAGACCGTAATTTTATAGCTAGTTCTTCGCAAGTAGGTATTTAATAATATAAAGAATTAGAGAGCTAAATAAAGAACTATCTAACTTTCTAAAGAAATCGGTAGTAAGTTTTCTCCTATTTCTTTTACTAGATTCTCTATATGAATTCTAATAGATATTTTTTAATAGGTAGCTTTTAATTTAAAATAAATAATTAAGTCTTTTCTATTCTTTCTAATATAGTTTCTTAGTAGCTACTTCCTTACTTTTCTCTCCGTATTAGCAGACTTATTCGCTATTATTAATTTATTAATAATACAAATAAACTAGTATTCTATACTAGTCCTAATAGTAAAAGAGC